GAAATATTTCCCAGAATTATATCTGTCGACAAAAAGGGCACCACTAAGAAATAAAACGACAATATTTTTGTATTAATTTTTAAATCTAATGCTACTTGTCTTAACTGTTGTAGATTTTTTTCCTATAGCTGTTGATACTATTACGTTTGCAACTGGTAATTCTAATATGCGTATTGTATTTTTTATTTTGTTATAAAAGTTTTCTGATATTGCTGTTATTTGACTACCACTATCCACAAGACACCACACCTTATATTTGTCAACTTCAAGTAAAACTCTGGGGGATGAAGGTATTTTATTTATTCCTGACTGTGTGTGACTCTCACTATTTATTATGTCATGAGATAAATCTCTAATTACGTCATAATATTGACGGACTGATGAGCCATAATTCAATGCGTCATTTTTTAGTTTAAATTATTAAAGTTTGAATTGTTTTGTTGGCTATCATCAATAATTGTACCATTTGAATGAGACCTATCATTTATGTTTGGAGGTGGAATCGTTAAATCCGGCAATTGAAATTTGTTTTGATTAAAATTTTGAGAAGGTTTATTATTTGAATAACGTCTACTGTTATGATATCGTTGGGGATTATAATTATTTCGTACTCTATTAAATCTACCTCGACCTCTATTAATGTAAGTATTTATTTGCCCGATTTCAGCTTGTGTATTGTTATGATTACTATGTGAATTGTATTTATTTTCAAAATTTCTTTTATTTTCTGCGAATAGAAGATCTAAATTTGTTAAGGTTTTAACAATCAAATCACTCTGGTTACAATCTATTGAAGCCAACGCAAGTTTTGCTGATTTAGGTAACTGTTGAATAATTATGTGTTAATGCTTTTGGAGATATGAACAATGTTGGTGTTATTATTATTCCAGTAAAATATGGAGGAGATAAGTTAATACACAAAATTGCAGATGTTGGAATAATGCAACCTCCCCAAAATATTATGACTAATAACAGAGTTATGAATTCTATTGATCGCGTGTGCTATAACCTGACTTTTGATCTTGATTTGCTTGAAGATGATGTGACCGACTTTGCGAATGAATTGAGTGTTGTTCACCCTGGTTTGAAGCGTCTTGCAGTTGCTTTAGATAATAGCATACATCAATTGAATCATATGAGCGCGCAAAGCTATCATAATACTGTTGGATTACATCATCATCTTAACGCTCATCAAGTGAAGCATGAACAGGATATGATTTTAATGAATGAGAAGATGACACAGTTGACTGAGTTAGTGAAGAGCAGTTTGAAATTACAGCAACAAAAGTTATCCTTTATGCCTTACGATTTATCAAATTCCACGGTTACTGTTACAAATAATACTGAGATATCCAAGCTTCCAAGTCTAGTCGGAACTAATGGTGCTACGATGGTTCAGGACACAAGTGCAATTACTTCAGCTGTGATACATGATGGTGTGTTAATGAATACGCTTCAAAAACAAGTTACAACATATCCTGAGCATCAGATTCAGCTGCAATCATCATTGCTACAGTTATCTAAAACTGACAGTTCGCTTCTTCCCCATGTGCCACAGGACCCTAGTTCATTAAGAAGTTATGCCAAAGTTGTATCCCAAAGTTCTGATTTGAGTCAAACTGATTCTTGCATTAGTTCACTATCATTACAAAGTGATGCTCGAGATTGTCCCTCTTTAGTACGATGTGCCTTACCCCCAACTACTGAGCTTTTTGAGATTGGGTCTTTGATGCCTTCTTTTGTAGATACATATTGCACGTTCGTGCATAATCGAGTACAATTGGATATTCACGTCTCTCATTTTGAGCTAAACGAGAAGATGCTACTTGGTCACGACGGAAAATTAATTGCTACTTATTATTTATTTGGTTGTTCTGATCCCACTCCAATTTATTTTATTGGTAAAGATGATCGTGCTACGGAAAACTTTCAAAATTGTAACGGTATCTGCTTTGATTTAGTGATGAGTAGAAAGACTGCGCTTCATCTTGGTATTAAGAATGTTGGTGTTGAGTTAGTTATGATTCCTTTACTTTCAAAAGATGAGGGTGGTCGTTATTCATATGGCATTTATAGTGGAAGGTTTGGCTCAGTCCAAAGATTAACTAGAGGTCTAAGACATGCATTTATAAACTTAAGATCATTGATTGCTGAGAAGATTGTTGATCCGAATTATAATGTTATTGATTTAGTTGCATTTATTCAGGAGCATTTAGTGTCTGTTATTGCTATTTCTTATTCTAAGAAGAGACATGAGTTATGTGTTCCCCTTCCTGATCTCGTCACGTAAGTCGAGGACTCATTGGAATTAGCCATGCATTTTTAATTTAGGAGTTAGGTTACCACGTGGCCGGGCGCCAATGTAAAATTTATATAGGTTAAAAGGACAACTTGCAAATAAAATGGCTTTTCACAGTCAGTAGAGCATAAATTCCTTAAGCTCCCGAATCACACGACGAGAAGGAAGGATTATTGAAATAATAAACATAGTATTTCCTTTGGCCACAATACATTATTTTAAATAGTTGAAGTTTCATAATCTAAATATATACATTCGTGATCACTATCACTTTCATACAACATTCACATATAATCACAACTCCATTCACACAATATTCACACAACATTCATACATTATTTACATATTCGCATTTCGATTGCCAATAAATTTAATTCTTTTTCTTTGGCGTAGAGTGATGATTGTGAATTTATGATAGATTTACTATCCTATAATTTGTTGGAATAATTAATACAAAGTAATTGAGCTCAGTTCGATTAATGCTTACGTTTGTTAACAAAGTCCGCTGGTATTCGTAATACCGTTGTTATTTCTTGTATCACTAACAAATTCTATGACGTAGTGAACGTTGAGGATCCCTTGAGAGCAACGAATTCAAACGCCTCGACGAAACTAGGCACATAACCCTCCGATGCCAGTCATTGATGATTTGTTCCGAGATGATGATTTCCAATCTCGTTACATCACAGAGGTGACAATTTGGGCATTGACCTTGCCATGTATCCTACTTCGGAGACAGCAGCAAGCGCGACGATGTGCAGTCACGTTGGCGGGACGGCAGTTCGAACAAAGCGAGCGAGCTATGATGTTCGTTAATTTTATTTAACTCCCGCTCATGCGCAGTACTCCGCAACGAATCTACACACGCACACACGCAAATGTGAAAAGGCGCGAGGTTCAAATCGACTCGTTACATCTTTTCGCTTCAATTTATCAATTGTTTTCTTATAAAAGGGATGACGTGTTTCCTTAAAACCACAAAACCACAGTACAGAGTCAAATTACAACAGTTGTCTAAATTAAAAAGGTAATTCAGATTATACCTTCTTGGCTTCTTAGCTTGAATTTTGAAATTCAAAATTCATGAATAATTTTACTAAAATTAAGAAAATTATGTTTGAATTCTATTAGATGGGCCGTTCCTTGCGGTACTGCAATGCAAGGTCGACCCGCGGCGGAGTCGGAGCAAGCCCCAGACACTCCACCATATTCCAAAAATCAGTTCGATATTCTGGCTCCCCAATGGGGAGCGTATCAGATATCAAGCTGATAAGAACAGATACTACACTTTGATCTTAGCCAAAAGGCCGAGAAGCGATACCATGTTGTATTTTTTACTTAGTATTATGCTGTACAAAACGCTATTCCACTTGCAGAAATCTTGCGACACCTAGTGGTGACTTATAGTACTCTACAATCGGACGAGAGTGCATACACATTTTGACTATGTTGCTCACAAGTATTCAAATATCTTTCTGCTTTGAAAAGTTGTTTCCAAATTGGTAAATATTTACTACAAAAAGTGCTTTAAAATTCTTAATGAAATCTGCAGTGTTCAAAAATATTACATAATATCCAAAAATTTCAAAATGTTCAACAATTAGTCATTGTTTTTATAATTAGGACTATATTTTTAAAATTAGTATGACTAGTAAGTATATATATATGAATACTGTGAGACACAGCAATAATTATTCTCCGGAAATCTTAGCAATAATATATTTTATTATTTGTTTCTAATCCATAAATGCTTGTTTTATTTTAAATTTTAAGATAATTATTTCTATCTACTACTTGAAAAATCATTGTTACAATAATATTTAACTTATATTTAATGTTTTATACGTGAAATTAAAAAATAACACCAAATTTCTCATCGCCAAGTTAAAATTTATATCATAATAAATGATACTATTGCCAAATTTAAAAAATTTGAAAAATTACTAAACTAATTTTAAAATTGTTTACTTAAGATGAAATAAAGAAAACATTATTTATTCACAATTACTACCAAGCATTATTTTTATTTTTCTCATAAAATTTACATATGAAAAAACTTAAATTTGAACATTCTTGATTTACGTGTTTATATTTACACAAATACAGTTTGCATACCTGAAAATGTAATTTCTGATTATATTATATTGTTTTATTAATTTCAGGCACACCTAGACTGAATTTTTTTATACTGTAGATATTACATAAGATATATCAATATTTGTACAATTTAAAGATTTTCTTTACAACACATACATATTTCTTTACGATACATAGATTATATGTACTAATAATGCATTTACATCTACTTTAAACATGGATTAAATAATCATTTTATAATGAAATTTACACTGATTAAGTTTAAACTATTTTTACTTCAACAATAGTAATCTCAATATTTTATACTTTGAAAATATATACTGTATATTTTAATTACAATATATATCATATTTTTACTTATTATGACAAAAATAGAAGTAATGTACTAAAAGTTTTTTGTCGCAAAATAAAATACAGATCTGAATACATTTTCACTTAATTTCAATTAATGATGAGCGATATTTTTAAATCAGTTATAAAATTTAATTACTTTACTAAACCACAAAACTAACACAATTATAATATAAAACTGTCAGTTACTGTAACATTAATCATGATTTTCATTATCAATATTGCAAACTGTTTGGTCTGCATCTACTATGGACTATTTCTGTTTAAATATATTTAAATATTTCCCTCTTGTCATTTCTTTTGCTTCTTCACATCCAAGTTGATATGCAGTATCAAGAAGTTTTTTTGCTTCCAATATTAACTCATTAATTGATAGGTGACCTAATTGATACAACTGATTCATATCTTCAGTTGTTAGATTAGTTGTCCAAACTGGGAGTTCTGGCTGTGGTGAATTTTGAGCAACAAATTTGGTAATATTCTGTTCTGGCCATAAATCTGGAGAAGCTCTATCAAGTTTTTCAAGACTTATTAAACTTTCTTCTGCTATAGTTATCTCATTGCCTTCTATTTCACTTTCTCCTATGATCATTTTTTCCATTTTGTTCTGAAATTCAAATAAAGTTATGAAATCAGAACATCATAAAATTTTTTATATTAATTCGAATTCAGGATTTGTATGTTTAAACAATCAAATAAAAATGAACTATACTTTTTATGATTTTTAAATTTAAAAATCTAAATCATTCAATGAAATTTTCAAGATCATAATTGATTGTAATAGTATAAGTTTAGTTGAAATAAGTATAATTTATATCTGAACTTTTGAATATGAAGCTATGATATCAACAAATATTCTACTTGTGATAGATAATTATAAATTACAAAAAAGTTATAATTATGGCTTTTTTATAAGTTAAATTATAAAAATTTAATATACTCTTTCATTAGTATGTAATATAAGTATTCATTCATATCTCCAGAAATCATACTTCTATAATTTTATGATATACCAACGAATTTTTAAAACAAGAAAATTGTAAATATAAAACTTTCATTACATTGACAATGTATAAAATAAAATAGACTGTAAATAAAATTGAAAAAATCTTACACTACGAATAACTATTAATTCAATGCATCAATCTCAATTGTTCAAGTGTTCGAACGTTTTATAGCTAACAATAAAACAATTCTTATGTATGTATTGTTATTGTTGTCCAATTACTCCTAAACATAACCTCCCAAGTTTTCGCAATAGCTTTAGATATCAAGACGTCGATAAAATAGTTTTCAATTGTATGCTATTAATTTTACTAATATGAATCTTTTAGTAATTAATATTTTCAAACAACACTTTTAACAAACGTTCTCACGTAAATGTTAGTTTAAACCAGATGACAGTAAAAAAATGGTGAAACAACCGTCACGTCACGATGTCGCCACAAGTCGAAGTTTAGATAAATAGAATGTGATACCGGCAATGCCGGCGCTAACCACGCCCGCTTAGATGTGTATATGATTGATGTTGAATTTTGTTTTGGTTCTACACAGTTTTATATTCGTCTCGCATTTGCACTCACTCCTTCATAAATATAATATTCTATTCGAATTTCGACTTCACTAAGCGTAAATACTAAATATAATGGATATCCCATTGTCTGTATGTTTTGTGTGCAATATCACATGATCGTATATAAATTGATGTAAGTATTACATTATTTCATTGTATATTAATTGTTCCTGTAATTCGTCATTTGTGAATCATATGAATGAAAGAAGACTGAGACATTTCTAGAAAAATAAATTCACACGAACGTATGCGATTGAAAGCACAAATATATCGATATTGAGATGAATAATGTAAGATACATTTTCATTAATTGTGGTTGAATATGGTGTTGTTATTTATTAAGATTATGTAATATATAAATAGTTGAAATCAGCATTGTTGGTACCTACGAAAATGTTTTTTTGAAAATGGCGAATTTATTGTAACTAACCAAAATTTGTAAAACAAATGCAAAAAATATTTCACGGCGTGAATGCTTATTGTAAATTATACCTAATACTTGATTTTGATTTGGGTTCAATTAATGTTAATGATTTTTTATATGAAGAGTCACTATTGACAAAGAACTAAATTTATTTAATACATCAACATTTTAAAACGTTATCAGCTTATTCATTGTTGAATTTGATTGTCTTAATAACTAGAAACTATTGTCTTGAATATAAAAACTAATATTTTTTTCAAAAATTAATAATAAGTTTGATCTTAGCAAGTATAACAATAATAAACTCAGCTTTTTCTATAAATAATTGAATTAACATTATACTGCATTCATTTTTGTTTTTTCTATTCACAGGTAACTTTCGTAGGATAAGACTTATAAATATTAATCATGAGCAACAGGAGCAGTGACTATGCTGGAGGGTGGCCATGCCATATCAGTGATGACATACAAACTGAATCTGATGAATTTCATAATTCATCTGAAGATTCATCTTATCACTCATCGTCAGGAGAAACAACTGATGAGTTGTGGGCCAATAAAAAATATATATTTATTTCTGTTTATAAAACAAAAAATTACAAAGATGTCACATTAATAACAAATTATCGTGAACTTCGTAATTACAGAGATAAATATACAAAGCTGTTAATAAAGAATACTGAAAATATCAAGAGCATTTGGAGTAAAGTCAAAGTAAATATTCCAAAACAAGGTATTATTCCATTAAAGACATATAAAAAGGAATTATTAAAAGATTTCAAAATCAAAAATGAAACAGTAAAAACAACCATTACTGTATTCAAACAAAATGAAACTGTAGTTGATAAAGCTAAATTACCAATTATCACTAAAGATCAAAATTCAGAAACATCAATAAAATCTTTAAATGCACAACAAGTAACTAATAAAGTTGTAATGAATGTTCCAAATAAAAATATAAAAGAAAAGAATTCTAATCAAACAACCAATAGCCAAGAAAATATTACAAGTATAAAAATCAAAAATAATGAAAACATATCTAATCAGAAAAAAATAGGTAAAACAGCAACCACGGCAGCAAAACCAGCTGAAGCAAACAAAATTACCTTAGTAAATGTCTCTACAAAAGTTAATAAGCAAGATAAAGGTGCAAAAGTTGATATAGTACATGATGTAACAAAATTTGAATCAGATCAGAAAAATAAAATACAATTAACAAACTCTACTGTTCAATTAAATCCAAATAATAAAACTGTAAAAAGTAATTCCAGTGAACAGGAATTCAAGAAACCTCAAATCAAACCTGATTCAAAAAAAAAGAAAAGTAGTAAAAATAATATTAAAGAAAATATTTCTGAAAATATATCAAATAAAGGAAAAAAAAGGAGTTCATATTCCCAAAGTAGTGAAAATAGTGACATACAAAAATATTTCAGTTCAATGAATGATCATTCAACTTTGAAAGAGAAATCTAAAAATCAAATTGAAGAATCATGTGATCATACAACAGATAGTGACAATGAAGATGAGGAAATTATTGATAATATGGATGTATTAACTGGAAATTTAAAAGCTATAAATGAAATGATTAAACCTGTAAAAGATAAAAATAAAAGCAAATTAGTTGAAATTTCTAAGGTTGCAAAGCAAGAAAATAGTGAAAATAATAATACTAAAAAAAGTGTAGCTGTATCACTCGTAATTTTATTATTGCTGAGAAACTCACATAATTGAAATAATCTTATTTTAAATTAACTAATAAATGTTTCAGGAGATAAATAAGATTGATTCATCAATCTCTGAAAGAGATTACATTTTATATAGTGAAAAGTTTGCAGAAGAGTCTATAAACATGATACTGGATAACAATCTAGAGGGAGGATTAAATTCTTTGGTTGAAGCTATGCAATTAAATCCTACTGATGATCGTCATTACTTAAATCGATGTTATTGTTATTTACGATTGAATAGACCTTCCTTGTATGTGTACTTTTATAAATATACATTTATGCATTCCAGTTATTTTAGTATTTCCACATAGTAATTTCATTGTTTTATGATTTTATTAGAGCTTTAGCCGATGCTCATTATGTGTTACAAACAAGTTCACATTATGATCACAGATTCATTGCATATCTGCGAGCGGGTAAAGCTTCAATGGCATTGCAGGTATAAAATAAAAATATTTATTATATTATATATTATTTATATATTTACAAAATAAAAATTATTATTTCGTTCTGATTATTATACGTATGTTAGTATATAATAATTAAAAATTTTTGTCTTGACATTTTTAAAATTTACCACTAAAAAGTACCTAATCTGATTCACTAAAAAAATTGTAGGAAATAATGTACACATTAGTACATCACATAATGTATATCCACCAACAATTGATTCTGCACAAACATTTTGAATTTGATTGCTGAAGACGAAGTAAATACAGATTCAAAAATTAGCGATTACCTATCTATCTCTTTTTTTTATTATGCAAATAATCACGAGTGAAAATTCTCTGTCTATAATTTCAAAGTCTGTATTTACTTTCTTCAGCAATCAAATTCAAAAAATTCATTCAGAATCCATTGCCGGTGGGTATACATTTTGTTAAATGTGTCTATTCACTCAATGGTTGACAAAAAAAGTTTGAAGATTATTCATTTTTTATGAAATGTTTGACACACTGATGTGCCATTTTACCTCTGCCAAGCCATGAATTTCACACAATTTGCCATAAATTGTTCTTGTATACATAGAACCGTAATCTGAGAATAATTCTAAGCCAAAAACCTCCATATTTTGTATCTTCATACGTGAATTAACTATAAAATATTTTTTTGCAGAAATATACCCAGGCTGAAAATTACTTTAAAAATTCTCTTTCTATAAAGTCGGATAATGTGTATGCTCAGAGGGAGTACATGCGATCTAAAATTTCTAAAATTACAAGCCTTGGTTACACGGAAAAAAGTGCTGTTTTAGCTTTACGGAAATATTCGAAAACTCAAGTTAGTTTTCACACAGTTATGACTATTACAATGATGAAGAATTATGCATAAAATCGCACTCAATTTTGAATTCATTTATTTTTAGCAAGCAATTAATTATCTGGGAAATTTAAATATTATTAATAAGAAAGATAAATCGGATAATAATTACGAATATTTCGATGACATCGAGAATTTGGATGATTTAATTTATTCGTCAGATGAAGATGAAAAACCAAATTGTACTTCATTAATAAACAATATACTTAATTATGAACCCATGTCAACTAAAATGTTTCATCTATTGACAAAATCTGTTAATAAAACGTAAGTATTACTTCTTTAAAGCGCTTAATCTTTAGAGTCATGCATTACGTTAAGTAATGTCATTATACTTTGAATTAATTACAAATACATTGTTTCCATCTAGTAAAAATGTAGACAATTGTATTAAGAAGAATACTACAAGTCATAAAACACGTACCGGTCAAATTATGAACAAAGCAATATGGGTTGGAAATTTAACCAAAAATATCACTGAAACAGTGTTGAGAAAAAAATTCAAACGGTAAGTAATATAATTTTGCATGTATTATTATTTAATTTTCAGCAAATTAATTGAAATTAATTGTAATAGCAACTGTTTAAAATTGATAATTACTTCGTTTATATTTTCATTATTGGTTTATAGATATGGAAATGTAGTTTCGGTATACTGTCCACCAAATGAAGCATATGCCTTTGTTAATTTCGAAAAAAGCGAGCATGCGGTAAATGTATTGAAAAATCCTTCTGCTTATGAAATAAACGGCCATAAATTGGTTATTCGTCATGGAATACACAAAAAATGAACGTATTGTTCTTCGTTCCGTTGCACATAGGATTTGTAATTTTTATTTGTTAAAAAATTAAAATAAAATCGTTGATGCGAAATATTTATATAAGCTAAAGTAAAATAGTTTCTAAAAAATTGTGGATCAATAAGATATTGTTGTAACATCTAAGTAGCTATAAATAACTGCATTGTTGCTCTTAATAATGTTTACAATTTTTTATGCAGTTGTATTATGACTATTGATAGATATATTAAGAATAAATCATTTTTCTACTGTTATGATTTTGTCACTTTGTAGACAAACATCTCATTTATAAATGTTAGTAGCTGTTTGCATTTTACTATATTTATTGAAAAGCGAAAATATATTTTATGAGGTGACTGAGATTTTGACAATGTTAACTCAACGTTAATTAATATGAAATAAAAAAATTTGAAAGCTATTATTTTGCATTAAAACTATTTACGTCTGTAAAACTACTATATTTATATATATTCATAAAAAATAATAATTTTTCTCCAACAATGTGTTAAAAAATGAAATACAATGGAATAAATGTATTACAAGTTATGTGCAGAATATATTTTTGGTATCAATGTCTTCTTATGTCGAAATATCTACTAAGTAACGATTTTGAGAATATTCTATACAGTCTTGATCATAAATAATTTACTAAAGGAATATACGGATTTTAGCTATGATTTTTTTTTGTTTTAAATGTGAACAAATGCAAATATTAAAAACAAAAACTGATTGTATTTTAAAAAGTGACTAGTAATCTAAACAAAGAATTGAATGTGTTCCTTAAAATTATAGTAATACAGAAGAAAATGGACATTTCACGTGTTATTACTGAATTTAATTTCGCATTATATTGCTCACAAAGCTTTGTTAAAATAAATTCATGCAGAAACTGTATAAAAAAGCTGGAATGGAGTAATTTTCGACATTTGTCAGATTGAATATAAAACTTCTAATCGACTATTTTACATTAAATGTGAAAAGTCAAAAGTTATCTTAGGAAAGAACTCGCTTTAAAAGTACAAATGTTGATGCAGATATTACATTTAAACAAAAGTTTAAAAGTTTTGATAATGCGGAGCGCACCTCATGGCTTAAAAATATAATTATCGAGTTTCCATCAAACTATTACCGATTGCTGAACTCAAATACATATATTAGATCTTATTATCAATTCTTGTTTTTCATTTTGCATATCTGATGTTTTGATACAAAAGATTGCATATTTATCACTATCCGTATGAAAATCCTTGAAAACATAATATTAATAATCTGTATTTTAGAAGAATAATTATTTTTACACACACAAATATTTCAAATCGCTCAATTCTATTTAAATGATGCTTCCTTAAAAGTTCATTGTTTAAAAACAAAACTTTAAAAAGTTAAAAAATATGGTAAATTAGTTCGTTATTTAATGTATTATTAACAAACATTCTAATGTAACCCTACAAACAAATTATACAAATTTCTATAAAGAATTTTTTTAAATATATTTGTTTTGAATTGTCAAAATAATATAAAGAATGTTTCATCCAAAACTTTCTTATTGTAAGTTTAGTAGGTCTTATTGTGGGATGTGCAACAATATTATATATATCAACAAAATTTCCATGAGCTAAACGATACAGTGTTTATATTATTGTGTGTGTTCAGTGTTTGTAATTATATTTATGTATATATACACACATGCATATATAGCGTATTCTACCGCCATTATAATCATCGGCCACGTGCTTAACCAAAAATAAGTGGGCTATAAATATAGGTATATGTAACACTGCGGCAACATCGCATTCTACTCTACCAACGAATCTCTACACACTAGACATGACGTTATACCACATGGCCTGGGTTAGAATTAAATCTCAATATTCTCAATGGTTGTTTAAATTCTAACCTAAAAGAATAACAACTGCAGCGTTGATCGCGAATAAATTATAGTTCAACCTAATAATATATACGTTATTAAACAATAAGTGGACCTCGTTATTACACATTTTCGTTGTTAATTAACTTGCAGAAAAGTTGTCTTGTATGAATTCAACGATATTTTAATATGAGAGGTAAAGGTGCTAGATTTTTTGCAAAAAAACGAAAATTAAATTTAAAGAAAGATAACGAAGCTGAAGATCGTGTAATTAAAAATTTGGAGAAGAAACTCAAATTTAACAAGAAGAAAAAGCATGTACCAAAATCTTTTATAAATGATGGGTTGGATTGTATCCTTTGAATATTTATTTATTTATTTATTTATTTATTTATTTATAGTTTTTTTTCTCTAATTTATCAATAACGATCTAAAATTTGTCATTTTTTTATAGCCTTTTTTATAACATTTCTTAACTTAAAAATTAGTTCTGTTGGATATATGTGATGAGGATACGAGAAAAATTGAAGCAGAAAGTGAGAAGCAACTATTAAAAGATGCCAATTCTGAATCTGAAGACAGTGACACACAAAGTAATATTAAAACCACAAAAAAATTGAATTTAAAAAAAAATCGTACAAATGTGAAAAAATTGGACAAAGAAAGTAGAACATTTGATGTGCATTCAAATTCTGATGTCAGTGAATCTGATAATAACAGAGATATTGAAGAAATTAAGAAAAGTAGTAAATTGAAGTGCAATTCAAATAAGAAATGCAAATTTAATAGCATTGATAGTAACGATGATGACTATGACAGCTGTGAAGAAACTGTACAGGAAAAATCAAAAATTAAAAAAAATAAAAAACAAAATAAATCTAAAGTTGTTAAAAAAAATAAAGTCATTGAATTAGCTAAAGGAAAAACGCCTGTTGATGAATTTTTTGACAATGTTAGTGATGGATCTATAGCTGAAGATGGTTTCGATGATTTTGATGATTTTGACAATGACAGAAACTTTAATTCAGTTGATTCGGAAAATGACAATGAAGCTAAATCTAAAAAAGATGAAACTTGGGAGGATATATATGGTAGAAAGAGGAATAAACAAGGTGAAGTTATTATAGAAAATAAGAAATATGTTGCTCCTGCATTAAGACTTAAAGAGAAAAGTTCTGAACAAAATGCAAAGTTGAAATTACTGAAAAGACAAATGAAAGGCCTTATAAATAGATTAGCAGAAAGTAACATGCATACTATCATTTCTCAGGTATGCAATAATTATAAACTTTAATAAATCAAATGTTTTGTATTAATTATTTTTTTTAATAATTTTAGCTGGATACATTATACATGTTAAATAGTCGAAATGATATGAATGAAATGCTTGCCACTTTGATGATTGAATCTATTGTTGCTCCTGTAATGACTGCTGACAGATTTGTAGCAGAACATATGATGTGTATTGCAATATTACATGCAAATATTGGTACAGAAATCGGAGCTCATTTTATAATGGTTCTAATAAGGCAATTCAATGAAATGATAGGTCACACACAGAGTGTAGAAAATAAGGAACTTGATAATTTGGTCTCAATGATCTGTAATTTATACAACTTCAAGGTAATTTAAAAATAATAATCTTCAATAAATATTTTTCCATTTTCATCAACAAAAATTCTTAAGTTAAGTTATTTATTCGTTTCAGGTTTTTGGATCAAAACTTATTTATCAAATTTTGGAGAAACTTGCAGAAAAGTTTACCGAGAAAGAAATAGAAGTAATTTTGGTAATACTAAAATCAGCTGGGTTTGGACTAAGAAAAGATGACCCTCTTGCTTTGAAAGCTTTAATTTTGAGCTTACAACAAAAAGCTGCTACAATGAAATCATCAAAGTAAGACTATCCAGACTTCTTTTGAATGAAACCAAATTTTTTAAAGATTATTTAGAAAATTAATCATTATCCTTTCATTTCAGTTCTCGAGTTCAATTTATGTTGGATGTATTACTTGCTATTAAAAATAATAACATGCAAAAAATTCCACAGTATGACCAAAGCCACATTGAACATTTAAAAAAAGTTATAAAAAGCGTTATCAGGAAAGGAAACATTGTTTCACAATTAAATCTATCTTTACAGGACTTGTTGAATGGTTAATATATCGAACTAAACAATCTCCATGATTGTATGGTGCATTGTAAATTATATTTACATAATCAATGTTTTTTACAGCTGATAAAAATGGTAAATGGTGGATTGTTGGCTCAGCTTGGTCAGGCAAAGAAGTAGATAATAAATCCAAAATATCTGAGGAAATTAAACCAGCTTATAGTCAAAAAATTTTGGATTTAGCAAAAGCTCAAAGAATGAATACAGATGTGAGAAAAAATATATTTTGTATCCTCATGACTGCTGAAGATTTTCTAGATGCATTTGAGAAACTACATCACCTCGGACTAAAAGAACGGCAAGAAAGGGAAATAGTTTATGTCATTTTTGATTGCTGTTTGCAAGAAAGTACTTTCAATCCTTATTATGCTGTACTTTTATTGAAATTTTGTGAATTCGAAAGGAAATATCAAGTAAGAGTCACTGCATATAACGTATTACAGTTATATATTTAGTTATTAATTGTTATTATTATTTAATTTTAGATGACTATCCAATATACTTTATGGGATAAGTTAAAAATACTGAATACTTACACTTCTAAACAAATAATGAATATGGCTGGTTTAGTGTCCTACTTACTTATTCAAAAAGGCTTACCTCTTTCAGTATTAAAGGTATTATTTGCTTATATTTAGTACTTTCATTTCTGTACATTACTGGAATACTATAAATAATTAACGTCGATTTAGGTAATTGAACTTGGAGAGTTAAACAAACCAACAATGAAACTTTTAAAAAAAATAATGTTGGACTTATTACTTCATGAAAATGGTGAAACATGTCTTCAAGTCTTCCAGAAAATAGCATCATCCAAACAATTGGGTCAATTTAAAGAGGCTCTAAGACTCTTCATCAATTATTTCTTACTAAAAAATCTTAAAAAAGACTCATTGACAGATAAAAAAATGCAATTGTTAGAAAGAAGAATTGAGCTAGTTGATAGGCTATTAAGTGTAGAATTATATTCGTAGCATATAAAACTTACACATGTTATTTTATATGTTTAAATAGTTTATAAATTTTCGTACAAATTGCAGATTACTAGATATAATTAGCGTTACATCATAAAAAAATATATATATGTTTTAGAATAATAATAAAAGTAAAATACGAACGACTAAGCTACAAGAGAATATCTCATAATTTATGAAATCTATTTTTTGAAATATATTTATTCACAATTGAACAATCACCAAAAATTCGAACAATTGAACCCTATAAAACTCGCGCTATCGGTCACAAGAATCCGTCATTAACCTCGCGTAATCTGCTCCTGTCCATTTTCTCCACACAGAGAAGAAAAAGATAGAGAGAGGGGGAGAGAGAGAGTGAGAGGAGGAGGGTAAGCCGCAAGCAATTTAGCTAGAAAGAGATATCGTGGACTTCCGGCAGCAAGAAAGAGACGAAACACGTGCAGTGCGAGAGGAGAAGTCATATCAGTCGCGGGCGCTGAAGTCTCACATACCGCGTGCAGTCAACAATAAAGGGAATTAAAAACCAACGCGAAAGAAAACAACTTGGAGCTTGGAAAATGCTGTAGCTGAAAGAGAGAAAAGGATACAGAGGGAGTATAGACATACCACACCAAGCGAAGAATAAGTCGCGTAAGTTATTTTCCATTCTGTTTTGTGTCTTACTTGAAATTCGCAAGAGGAAGGAGAACTGATAAGCCAACAAACACAAGTCGAAATACGTCGAGAACGCCCGCTGATGATTATTTGCTAGCGATGTTTCGTCTGCTTGACTTATCGTAAGATTTATAAAAAGAAAATGATTCGCCATATCTTTCATTTGTGTAAAATCTGTTTGGTCTGGTTTTGTTTTTCTTCGCAACCGCGCGGAAACAGTGTGGAACAGGCCGTTGAAAACCCCCCTTCCTCCCACCTTTGGCCTTTAAAGGACAATAACACCGACGCGCATGAGTCTTTGATATGAGTATGCGTGCGCTATCCTATATGTACGTTTTTATTACACACTTTTAATAGTTTCACGAAATCATAAGAATTTCAATTTTGATTATTCGAAATCTCAAAAAAATATTGCCTACAAGTTTTAATCTCTAATTAAATTACATCTACAAAAAAATCAGTCTTCTCTGGCGATTAGTTCTCCAGTCAATTATTTCGGTTGTTTATGCGCCTCTTAGTGACGAATAAACAAAAATCAGACGAAAGAGAATGAAAGAAGAGAAAGAAACGAGAGAGGGAGAATCGAGCGACGTGACGACAATGAAAAATAAGACGCAAATGGACAGCAGCAGTGAAGCCGAAAAAACCCAAGGATAGAGGACAGACGTATAAGCTCATTCTACAACCTCTCTCGTCTCACCCTACAGGCGCGTTTCTTTATCGTGCCGCGGAACAATCTTGACAAGTGCAGCAGATGGGGCTGGGAGATTTTTTTTACAACGTAGATTCGGAGTTGTAGATTAGGAGTTGCAATTGTTGAATATACGACAAAGAAATTTCAGAGCAGCCGCTTGAAGACGCGTCGACACGAGATCGCTGTCGAAAAAGCTAGGCGCGATAACAGTCGCGATATGTACACATTGGGTTCGCTTCGTAATAGAACCTCATCCCCCCAGCCCCAGCGATTACAAACACCACCGTAGAGGTCCTTCACCCGCAGCGAGCAGGCGAGCGCGTCATGCATTCTCATCGCTCGCTCGTGCGCGCGCTTTTCCTCCGAAAATTTTCTCGTCCGTACGTGTGATGCGCAGGTAGGCGCGCGTTCCTCTTGCGCTTAATCGAGTCGCACACGACGATCACTCGATTCACGCCGCAAGAGAGAAACTCCCCTGCCGAAAACACGCATCTCCAACGACAAAAGGCCCATACGTATAGAAAGCGTAAGCTTGCGAGGCAGTAAACAAGACACGCGAGGCTGTTGTGAACGTAGCCTTCGGAGAGAAGGACGCGGCGATGGTTTCATTGCCCTTTCCCCACCCCTGGACTCGCGCCGCCCCCCGCTTGCTCGCTGCTTGTCTCTCGGCAGCAGCAGCGGCAGCAGCGAGCGAGCGAGCGAGCGAGTGAGAGAGAGAGAGAGAGAGCGAGCCGACTGACGCTGCCGCCGCCGCGTAGTCGCTTTTCGTGAGGAACCGCGCGAGCGCGCCTTTTTCATCCGCTCTCGCTCGATCATCGCCACCTCTCGTCATCCTGGCCGCCAAGGTACGCACAGGTGAGTCAAGCTTTCGTGGGCGAGCGCGACCTCGCTCGTCGCGCGCTTTGTTCGCCACTCTCTTGTTTTGGTCGGTTCGCGCGCAGCACGCCGCGGAATCGTCGCTTTTGTTTTGGTTCGCGGACATACGCTTCGTCGACGCGGCTCCGCTGCGGGAAGGTGCAGCCGCGGCGCTCGCGCCGGGAAACGAATGAAAAGTCGCCCTTGGCCAAGCCTCGTTTTGCGACCGCAGTGCGCTTCTTCGCTTATCCTCGACAATTGGCTTGTATTCGCGAAAACGAAGTCGTACGTAGCGATTAGCCATCTGGTATATAAAGTGCGCGACGGCGGCGGCGGTGGCGGCTCTTGCATGTAAACAAAGTGCCGCGATGCGCGTCTCCATGTCGCTTTAGCTCTGTCTCTGTCGCGCCCGTAGCACGCATGCCGCCAGAGGTAAACGTCCTCGAGACAGTCGATACGTATATCTATATAGTAGCGCCGCACGCGAGAGAGAGAGCGACTATACGGCACTCACACAGGCGCGCAAGCTCGCTCTCCCCCTAAAATTCGTCGCGTGCATGCACACGCACACGTAGCTCGCGGGGCCGCCTCGCGACGAAAGTGCGCAATTTTTTTCCCTGCTCGCGCGCAGATAAGACTGATTATCGGCAGCATAGTAGCACGCAAGCTGCTCAGTGCGCGCTCGCGACATAATTGGTAAACAAACTTGACCCTGCGTCCGTGTCGTGCGTGCGTGCGTGCGTGCGTGCGTGCGTGCGTGCGTGCGTCCGTACGCGCGCTCGTGTGTGTAGCGGCTGGTCCGCCGGCGCGCGCCCGCGCGCGCGCTCTCGGCGTGTAGTTGCGCTGGTCAAGAAAGAGAACGCCCGTGCGTGTTGCTATACCTATATACAGACGTATACGTATAACTCGCGCCTGCCGCTGCGCCCCGCGAATAAACTCTGGGCAGCTGCGCGCGCAACGCCGAGCGCGTACGTGTATGCGCTGTGGGTGTGCAGCAGCGCGGGAGAGAGACGCCTCTCTTGCATTCGCAAAACGATAGGGAGAACGCGGAGCTTCTTGACCGTCACTTTCCGAAGCGTGCTATCCAGCCGTGGGGGCTAATGTTTTGGTTTTCATCGCGAGTTCGTCTGGGCCAGGGCAAGTGGGGGGAGGGGCGGCAATGGAGTACAGCTGATTATGAGCGGCTCCGTTTTTCAGCAGCTGCAATACAGACTACGCGAATGCGACCCTTTTGTTTCCGTGCACTACCAGTGGTGCGAGCGGTCTGCTACGTTTTCAAGTGCATGATCATGCTTTGTTTCGTATGTGCTGCGCAGGTTTTTTGAGTTCAGAACTATTGTTGCGCGTTCGTGTTGATTTTTTTGGAGCGTGAAAAATATTTTGGAGTTAACATCTGCTGAGCTGATTCAGCAGTACTAATCGCGGCTGACCGAATGGTTTTTTACTACTCAAAGCTTAAGCTGCTGATATCGTTCTGAGGTATTGTAGGTTTTTTGCTTTTTTTCAATGAGTCAACTTTGTTTTTAGAATTCAATAATAAACTTCAAACAGAAGCGCGAAACTATTTTATTTGTACTAGAACCATAAAAACCGACAATCAGATTCAAAGTTCGGTAATGCGAAATAATTATAACGTAATTTTCCTAATTTCAGAAGCCTTTACCAAAACTTATTTGAACTTTTAGTATTTTTAAAATATATTTATAAAAGGATTTTTAACGATTACTTATGAATACGCATCAAATAAAAATTCAAGTCACGAGTAAAGTACATTTAGGTAAATCTAGAGTGAGACGTATGTTCATAAAATGATATTTTATGTTTTGTTTTGCTTATGAAGTTTCCATCTAAGTGATCCGCTTGCACTATCTTATTTATTCAAACTTCCATCAAACGAAGAAGCTTCTCTCTCTTTCTCTATCTCTCTTTCGAAAGCAGGTCATTCTTAATCACCACAACATTGCCTATCATATACCACTAATAAAAACAGCGCACTCGAAGCCTTGATGCATAATCCATCGACATAAATCTCAGCGTTCTCCAATAAATCACATATATAGCTGTGCAAATGGTCACGCGACGTTGGTTACCTGACGTCACACACGCACTCGACTTAACTCAACCAGTCTGTTCTCGCGCGCGGCTGCTATGTGTGAAAAACACGTCTGGTAGTAACAGCCACGTAAAAACGTCATTGCGTGCGCCCTGTATTTCGCGAGAAAGAGAGACGATCTCTCTCTCTCTCTCTCGTCGCTCGCTCGCTCACTTGCTCGAAGGCGTGTCGCATTCGCGCTTGGAAATTGTCGATGAAACTCGTTTCCAAGTCGGTATCTCCTGCAGGCAGAGAGTTACATCGATCTGAATAAGAGAGTTTCAGTAGCCGTGGCCAAGTGATTTTGTGCCTGCGTATTTCTCTTCGAAGGGTGATTCGTTTTCATGTAAACCCTGTTGCACAATTACCTACTTTTCTGCGCGCCTTAGCCCACATTCGGCATTATATATGTGTATATATATATATGTACGTTTCAATGAACTCTCTTTTTCTCTTTTCTCTTTTCTCTTTCTCTATCTACTTTACAGTAGAATTGGCTTATTTAAACAAGTGATAAAATTAGTAACATACTTACTCAGGTTTCAGTTTAACTATTGTATAATAATTCTTGTTAACTGGGTTATCCAACATAATCACTGATAATAGCTTTAATTAGCATTCGTTACTTTAGAACCAACCTGTTGTCTAAGAAACTTAAAGATCAATACATGTTTGACAAACTAAGCAGTGTGTGATGATCCAAGTATTTCAATTATATTGCACCGTCTAGAATATAGTTTAATTCTATGTTGTTTCAGGTGTGTTTCACACAATGAAATGGTCACCAGGAGCTCTGTTCTGCGAGCAGGTGGGCGAATTAACAAGAGTCTTCTCACAGTGGAATGAATGCGAGCAGACAGTTGTACTATATGCTCTACTGAGGCGAATACCAGCAGTTCAAGCTCGTTTTCTTGCTCAAGCTGTTCAGCACTCACTTCATTCTGTTTCTGAATTAGATTCCCAAGAACTCAATGCCAATAATCCTGGTAAATTTGCTTTTTGAATAATTCAACATTCACATTTAGAGTTATTTAAAGAAAATAAAGTTGCTGAAATCATTCAGTGATGTAAAAGACAATGAAGTTTAAATATAATAAATTCCCTCTTCATTTATTGCATAATTTATAAAGAATATTTTCTTTTGTCAGCTTTTATCAACTCATTACTGTCAGAATCAACAGAGGTTGCCATCAACCAACTATTAACTCATCTACCACTTCTTAGACCAGGCAATGTTGAATGCAAGCAATGTTATTTATTGGTCATACCAGAATTAATCAGTCACTGTGTGACCACTGGCCGGTACACTGAGCAAACGCAACAGTTGCTGAGTTATACTCTTATTCATCCTGCGATCACTAGTCAAGATAGACGAACACTAACCCTGTGGCTGAGACAACTTGAAGACAGGATTACCAATTCTCAACCTGTTCAGAATACTGAAGATTTCAGCCCTAGTACACCTATGAGGTAAGTTGAACTAAAAATATTAATAATTAATTGATGTATTTAACTTGAAAAATTTAATTAAATATTTTAGATGGGATTCTCCATGGCAAAAAAGCGTTAAGCAAACCGAGCAAATGTCTCAAGTTTATGGAGCGCAGTCAGGTGCACCATTCAATTTTCAATTTCAACTGCCAGTCACCCGTCAACGACGTTCCAACAGTCTGACACCACCTGTGGCATCATCGCATCAACCCGAGTTGATCGAACGCACTGGAAATGCCAACATGTCATCGAGGCACAAGACTCGAAGTTACAGCGTTTCAGGAGATCATTGCGGTCAGTGTGGAAAAACGTGTCAACATTTTACGGCCTACAACTACTGTTGGAATGATTGTGTAATCTTGCCGGTTTGTTTTGCATGACAGCTCTGATCGGTTTGGGACCGCTTAGCCCGCAAAGTTCGTGCGCCAGCAGCGGCAGTGAAGGTCGTTTGGATGAGGCTTCTGCTAGGCCGCTATCTACAGGAATGAGAGGTGATCATTTGACTTGTTTACGTAGTCTTTAATCACATCTAGTTTTTCTTAACTGTACGCAAATTTCAGATGTACCAGCATGGTTAAAGACACTACGTCTGCACAAGTACAGCTACCTGTTTACCAACTTGTCGTATGAGGATATGCTTGATTTAACCGAGGAGAAGCTTGCCGAGCAAGGAGTAACCAAGGGTGCACGTCATAAGCTCGCTCTGTCGATTCTCAAATTGCAACAGCGTTATCATACCCTGCTAGATCTGGAGAAGGACTTGGTACAACCGCAAACCAATCAGTCCGCGTCGTTTGGACAGAAACCATTGTTGGTAGGAGCTCTTGACGAGCTCAAGACTATACTTGCAACGCCGCTCAAACCAAGTCGTGATGGCGATGTTCACGATATACCCATGCAGTTCACTAAGGTTCTTGGTAAATGTAAGTTTTGAATCATCTTATTTACAAAGAAGATGCGCTCGCGTTCGCGGATTCTTTGAATAATTGTTTTATTCATATAACTCGGCAGTATGCAGCAGACTGGCTCTGGAAAATGTAGACGATGCGGTTTTATGCTCCTGCATAACCATTCTTGAGAAGGTGTTGCAACACGATTGCTTTACTCCCAGCCAGAAGGAAAAAGTACAACAATGGCGCAGTCGTCTTGGCAATCCCAGACCAACTCCTAAGTAGATTTCTCTCAATTTTATTGCTATTTTAAATTTAGTTAATTAAAATCTATGACTTGTAATCCGTACATAAAGTTATAAAAAAGTATAGTTTTTTACTAATGAATAAATGCTAAATTATAACACGTGTTTACATAAGCTGGCTTTTTCACATTAAAAAACTCTTTAATGTCTGTTACGTAGTCAACATAGTAAATATTGTGAAAATATTTTAATATTAATGTATAAATGTTTCTTTGCAGATGGCAGCATAATAATCATGCATTCTTCAACAGGAGATACTCAAACTCACAGCAGCATAGCCGAAAGCCCAGTTTAAACCTAGGACATATTGGAAATAGCAAATCAACGAACAACTTTATGGTACAGCCGCACAGAAACAGTATATCGACTCCGTATTTACAGTCCAGCTCCAGTCAGACATCGAATCAAAACAATCTTGGACTCGTTCAAGCACCCGAAAAACGGCCCAGTCTCCAGGAGAATAGCCTAGAGGTGAATATCCATTTTAATTTTGATACGTTTTCAATCTTACATACTGCGGAGGTAATTCGTTCTAGGAAACTATAAAACCTGTATTCTTTTTTAAGGTAGAATTTCTTGAAACTTACGTAAATTTTAATTATATTACAGCAATTGCAGAGAACGCTACAGCGCACTTATAGTGCTCCAAGAGATAATTTCCTTGGTCACTCGAGCAACGCTTTAGAGACGACTGATCCAGAGATAAACTCGTGTTTAGAGTCATTGTGCTTGCGCATGACCGAGCAAGCGATCGGTGGCTTCGGCGAAGTCTAAACTATCAGCGTCGGCTGCTCATTATTCATACTACTCGTCGACGTGTTTCACGTACTTTTTCACGCAGCAGGTTAGCGCTATTTTTATAATTTCAAACCAACGACAGAGTTATGAGAAAGACGGAGCAAACAAGCGGAGCATTAGACTTAATTTATTGGCGACAAGAATAATAACAACAAAAAATGAACGATAGAATCGTGTGCGATTCGTAATTTTTTAAAAGAAGAACACAGGAACAAAACTGTTTAATGAGGATGAATGTTTCTCAATATCAATTAATGAAAAGCGTTGTCCACGGTTTTGATACTTTTTTAGTCACAAATTAACTTGCTTGCTATCGAGGCGATGATGTATAAATGGCACACAATAATACGTCGATGTTTTTGATTAATTGATATTCCTCAGTGATGAAAGAAAAGGATAAACATAATGCGAATGAATCATATTCTCATAAATTTTTAGTTTATTTAAGTGAAGATTATAGGCTATTGAATGTCTACTATTAAAAATATAAGCTACAAGCCCTTCGAAGAATAAACAAATTATATGCAATGGAAGGACTGGGAGAGTAAATTTTCTCATGCCTGTATGGATTACATGTGACATTTTTTTTAAAGACAAAAAAAAACAAAATGAGCTCATGAGAAAGTTTACTCTTGCTTTTTTTGCTAAGGTTTTAGTGCTTATGTCTTTGATGAAAGACTATATATATATATATATAAAAATATATCTATCGCTAGGACTCCCGGGTGATTGTTGTCACAGGCATGAGAATAGCCAATTTTTCTTATCTAGACAAATTTTAAAAAAATAATAAAAAATAATAAGACGAAAGAAAGACTAAACCTCTGACGGATCTCAAAGTTTGCAGAGGGAATGTGTTCAATCAATAGGAGAAATAGTACGACAATAATCCCTCGAGTCCTAAGTGCTAATTAAACGTTTAACGCTATTTATATATGGAACTGACAGAATTTGGCAAGCCAAATGCTACTAGAAAGATAGATTCTTTCCTTTAGTATTTACTTAATCAATAATATTCATAAAATATATTATATACACGAATATATTATATATACACTTATTATTAGAAGACTTTTTTTAAGAATCGCATTGAGACGAAAGGCGCGATTATGTGTGATTGAAAATTTTCTCTGTGAATGAACGTACTAAACTTTATTTTGCGAATGCTTGAATGAAAGGAAAGAAGAAAAGAGCAAAAAAGCGAAGGGCAAATCTATACGATATGCTTGCAATATTGTTTTTGTGTTATCCATTTCGGGAAATGGAATTATTCTGATTTTACGCTCTCAAGCTTATCATACTCTAATGTAATTGTAATTTTTCGTTTACTATTTTTTCTCCCTTTTTTTTCTATTTTTTTTTTTTTTTTTTTTTTTTTTTTTTTTTTTTAAGAAATGGACTGGATTCACTTGCGTCTTTCTTGCATACGAACACACGATTTATATAACTTGCATTGCTCTGTCTATCATGATTCTCTCTAATGTCGGCTATATGTGTAACCCTTTTTTTGTCATTTACGATGTTTAAGAGTTCGTGACCTCGTTCGTGCGCCTAGCTCCATTCGATCAATAAAGTTGTATATTCAGTGAAATATTACTTATACACGCTGATTTCCCAGGTTTTGATAAACAAGTGCAATGTTTTGTCGATATATGTATATTGTAATCGATTTATATCAAATAGTCGCAATCGAATGTTAATCCTCGAGCAAATACGATTTGCTACGATCTACATCGAAAAGTGAGCCGTTCACTCTAAAACGTGGATGTAGTACAGTATACATCCGAAAACGAGCAATAGTAGATGGATGAAACAGTACTGTCAATTTCAAAGTTACCGGAGATAGAAAAAAAATTAAAAAGAAAAAAATCGAGAAAAAATGACAGCCTGCGTTGGACGCAGAGTATAATAATTGTATAAAGGTAAATAAACGAACGTCAATCCTGGAAATGTAAAAAGATCGACTTGAGCTAAGCGTGGGTACGCAGGTCTGTGATTCATGTGAAAGATGCGCTAAGCGTCAACTCTCGTATATTGTAAATGTTTTTCATTGGAGCTCCGGTACAGGATTACATTATACATACGATTAACTTTAGTCACGTTTGAGAAATCAACGAAGAACTGTAACAGTGTATGCTTTGTAGTTTCTGCATAGATTTCACTCTTTTTTTTTATTTTTTTTTTTATTCTTCTTTTGTATATATACATGCCAATCATCCGCATATATTCATCACAAACATTTCATGTATGATTGTATGAGATACGGGTGCTTTCTTTTATCTAACTCAAATTTGCATTTAAAAAATATTGTGAAAATAGAACTTAAAAATCTGTGACTTAGGAATCTACGAAAGCATACATTATTTTTTTCTTCTTTAGCGAATCTTTCAAAACGTTCAACTAGTAGCGCTAAAACGAATCAATTAGGCAAGGCAGAGATAAAATTTCTTGAAATGAAAGCGCCTTCTCGAGCATGTTAAACAATGAAGATGAAAAACAAAAGCCGTACTAACTGTAAGACTAAAATTAATTACTCTTAACTAACATTTAAAAAAAATACAATGAAAGACTGACAATTTCACGCGAATCGAACAAAGCACGAACGGTTAGTTCTGCGTGCGCGTGAATGCAAAAATTGGAAGACTGCAGATATAAAAAAAGGGAGGAAAGTTGAAAAAAATATTAAAAAAAAGAAACGAAGGAAGAACAGAGGGGAACGAATGACGGGCGTGTGCAACACGCAAAAATGGAAAGAAATACTAAAATAAGATAAATAATGAACTTTATAGAGAGGCAATCGATTGTAGCGCAAGTACTTTGTAGTACATTAAGATTTTACGCGTATAAAGTAAACAAGAATTGTAACGATTATTATGCATAGCGCTAATGATATGAAAAATACACATACACACACCCAAATACGCAAAATACACGTACATTGTATTAGGTGATTATAATTGATGTAAGACTACGTGCGACTGCCGGTCACATGTATAAATACACAGAATAAGTACACGCGAAGTTTGAAAACGCCGAAGCTCGCTCGTGATTATCTTTTTTAATTTTTATTTATTATTAATATGTTGTTTTTTTTTTTTTTTTAATGATCGCTCAAACAAACGTCCTGGTGACTTTTTTTTATGTGTTTTATACCAAATAATAAAATCCGATGAAATTTTAAAAGCGCAATTTACACGTTTTTTTCGTGTTTGACGGTTATGTTTAATATTTTGATAAAAATCAATTAATAAAAATACGTGGCGAAGCTTGGCGTGTTATGCAATATATTTCAGTAAAACACTGTTGAAGGATAATTTCAATCGAAAACTAGTCAATCGAAACAATTTTGTAATATGTCACGTAAACAAGTAGGTAGTCGTTTGCGTATAATTATACGTTGCATTACACACTTTTATTGTACATCTTATTAAACTTAAGTCCATTTACCGATGCATTACACGTTCGCACGAGCACGAGCTATAATCCGTTTTCTTGAAACTTTACATCGAGAGGCAGTCGACTCTGTTGTTCGGAAAGATTGATTTTTAGAACAAAAGAAAACCTTTTTGCGTGGCAGGTTTTTATTTATTTATTTTTTTTTTTAAATTTTCTTTTGTTAATCATTGAGATTTCAAAGACTTTTATTGTGGCATTTCGTTAAGCAGTAATTTATTTGAAAAATTCCAAATCTAAGTATACATTTTTGTTTTTATATTATTTTTTACAAGACCAAATTTAATGTGTCCAACGTTTATTGATGGACTGACTATATTTGAATGAGTTGATAAATCGATTGGTCGATAATCTTGACATGTGATTTTTAAAACGTGAAAAATAAAAATAAGGAGACTAATTTAACGTGCAAAAAAACAAAAACATTGTTAGTTTAGCTATAATTACTTAAGGATACACATATATTTTAAAGCTTATCGCCTTTTCTCAAGTAAATTGAAATTCATAATTAGATCTAGGTTTTACGAGTATTTAGGCTATTAGATAAAAAAAATTATTTCGTTCGTGCGCATTGATAATAATGAAAAGTTAACGAGCTTTTTCGAGACTCTTAAAAATAGCTAAGAAGAAAAATTGACGAGGTATCAATCTTTCAAAACGATCATTCATAATTTTGCCACCTCGACAGTATAGTTCGTTTCGGGCGCAAGCACAATATGTGCATCTGAGAATGAAAAAGAAAAACGAAGAAACAAGCAAACTAAAAAAAAAACCCAACGATCGAATCTATTTTGTCCAAGGCGGGGCCTGAATGGTGTGGGAAAAGTGAATTTTTTTATTCGAACAGATCCTCCTTGATGGAGGACACTTTGTGCAACACTGTTTCTCCGGCGAGTGCATGCCCGTTTGATACTAAAATGTGTGAAGTGTGAAAAACTTTAATCTGTTTTTCAATCAGTAATAACCGATAGTTAAATTAGTGACACTTGGTTTTCACATTTCACCATAAAACTCGCCGGAGAAATGCCAAATTAGCTTTACGTTTCCTTTATTAAATTAGCCTCGATATTTCCCGCGACTTTCTCCCTCATCATCGCGTGAGAGACACTTCGCTTCCCAAAAAAATCCTTAACATACTCTCCCGTAGAAAAGTCTGGATTTGTCCAAAGAGGTAACGCCTAGTGTTAGAATTCTTCGATAGCGTCGATCGTTTTTTTTCTTTCTTTTTTTCCTGTCTGAGTAAGTACTTACGGTAATAGCGTAGCATGGCAGCTAAAAATAGATCGTGATTTAAAAAAGGAGTACAATACAACTTAGAATTCTCTTTATCCATCATTCTATACTTGACTGACCGATAAAGAAATGAACAAAGGTTGTGCATCTGTCTTCAGTCGTTTGCCATTGTAGTTTGTAGAAAGAAGAAACCTTTTTCGAGCTCGCATTTGTCCCCTACGACGAGATCTATTTTTCACGGAGTAAACAAATTTTCGTACGACGAGAACTGCACTTGTTAATAAAAAAAAAATGAAACAGATGTACCTCCTTTGAACGAAAAAAGAAGATACGCAGCACGCACCTTGAGTATTGTTGTTTCATACTGGACGACTTTTGCTAAAAGAACTGTCGAGCAACGCATGTATTTTCAGATGGAGATCGTCTAATTTGGGCTAATACAGAATCCTATATTTTCGTTAATTTGTGTCGACCGAAGTGTTAAAAAAAACTACCTACGAGCTTGTCAAGTTTTCTAAAGAAAAAGCAAAAAGAAAAAAATAATATCGTGCTCCAACGAAGAAAAAAAAGTTCGTACGAATCAAGGCGCAAAATTAGCTAGGCAAAATGAGAAAAAAAAATTATAGGACGAGATTTAGAAGCGTTACGTTTCGGGGAAAATGGTATGGGAAAACGAGAGAAATAAAGGTAACAAGGAAAAGATTGTTTTGACGAGAAAAAGATTGAGAAATCAGGTTGCTAATTGGAAAAAATACTTTAGTCACGTAAGCTTGGACATGTTGTAAAAATGCCATTTTTGTACTGTTACGACGTCAGCTAATTATAGATGACGATGGTACTCCGATGTTGTAGCATTGAAAACATTTTTTAATAAAACATTTTTCATACGGACACTAATTGATTGAGTTGGTTGTTTTATTTATCCGGTTCACCTGAATTTCTCCTTTCGTCGTTTCCTCGCGATAACCGCATCCTTGAGAGATAATATTCGACGGCAAAACTCTACAACCTGAACTCGCACTGAGCAAACGAGAAGCTTGTACTTGACTGTGGCATCTCAAGAACAAAGTAGTTGTAGCTCACGTGCGCACGTCTCTTGAAAGACAAAAAATAACCGAAAGAAAAAAGGATAAGGAAGCGGTCGAGAAACGAGCGCGGAGAGAAAAAAAACGAAAAATCTCTCATAACGCGGCCCATCTCGCGCGGACTGGTGAGCCAGAGTGGCAGATGGGTTGAATTATACGACGGGCCCGCGAAGAGCACAAGGTATTCACTTGCAGGAAGCGAATTTCAGATGGGTGCTCCGCCTTAGAGGCTCCTGCGACAAATCGAGTTGCTCGAAAATATTCCCTAGGTCTCGACCAATCTCGCTGTTTATTCATCAGAATTAAAATACAAGCAGGATGGAGGGATATAAATAACATCGACATTTATGATTTTATAATAACGAAGTATATTTACAAAGCAACGATCTAACTGAAATTCATGAAAATGTTGTCGATTGCAGATGTTTTTTTCCAATTTTATTTAAAGTTTTAAGTAATTTCAAACGAGGCTCAAATATAAAGTACATCATCACATTGACATTACCACTGAAAAATCGTTTATGATAAATGTTTAATAGATGAAGGAGGCTAATTTTTGCGTTCCTTTGTATCGCGATAACTAAAAATTAAGAAATAAGCCTGCTGCAAGTACAATCTACTTCCAGAATTGACTCTTGAATAAACATTTTCCGGCTGAAGCGAAGGTATGTACAGGTTGCAAAGATGCGCGTATGTAAAAGAAATGCCCAACTGGTAATGATTCGCGGCCTTTACTCTTACGAATTAAAAAAACTGATGAGCGAGGGATAAAAAAACACGATAAGTAGCTAGTCTCAAGGACGCGCCGATGCCGTCGACGTCCTCGAAGAAGGCCTCACCGATTCCTTCGAATCTGCTTTTTTGTCTAACCTGGACAAACGTGGGTACATTAAAAATTCATATATCATTCGAAGCATTAAAAATGAAGCTCACAACGTAAGTTTTGGATTACCCATTATTTTTAGATCCGCGCTTAAACATACTGGTCAATTTTTTCTTCAGGTTCTTCTTCTCCTTCTTCATTGCATCGGTGATGCTCACCTCGGACCCCGAGGTCTGCAAGCATATATCGAATAATCTTACTCATTCGTGCATTTTTTACAATTCAAAGGGCACTACACAAAATTATTAAATGTTTATACGAATATTGAGTCAAGTACTCGGACTTTGTTACCGACAAGTACAAATATTGAAATACATACATCATCGATTAAGCAAATACTAAATCTTGTTTGTAATTATAATATAATGCAATTAAATACGTAAAAAAATAGTTAGTATGAAATAACCTACAAGCATTTTAGTTATTTATGTGTCAGTGTGTGACCAGTTGATTTTGTGATAGAGTTAAGAACTCGTATAAATATTAACGACAACAGAGCTGCACCATTGAATGGCAAACAAACGTGTACCACCGTGATTAAAACATCGGGCACAGCTGCAACACATATTACCTACACGTGAACATATGAAAAGCATTTTTTGCTCTCATTACACCTTGGTTCTGTCACGCCGGCGTCTAGGCTTTTAGTATCCAAAATTCAAGGGCAATTTTGAGCAAACGCATCGATCAATCGGACGCACAAAGCTACACGACGAATGACATTGTTAGAATGCTTTATTGGCACTTTTTACAAAAATGTTCGATGCGATAATATATAGCCAGCTATAAATGAAATGTCGTAATGCCCAAGCGAAAGCGAAACGAGTGATCGTCCCTCCCATCGAGCCTCGCAAGCCTCGCTCACTCCAAAAAACGCATGATTCGCACGGACTAGAAGCATACAATTGACATGGACGAACGAAAGTGAAGAAAATGCAGTGGAACGGGGAGGTTGGTCGCGAGGTAAGAGAGTCTCGATGGCTTACCTGAAGAGAAGATTCGAACGAACTATTGGGATCGTCTACGCTCGCGGATTTAGTGAGGCTTTTAGTGATTTTGCGAATGATGCCTTTGCCGTGTTTCTTTTCGTGACGCAGGATCTCGCTTTGCGTGGACTCCGTTGAAAGATGACTGAAATGGCCACCAAGGCTGTAGAGGTGAGTGGCTCGCGGGGCGACAATACCAACCTCTCGATGCTGGAGTCACGCTGCAGACCGAAGTGCCGCGCGTCGACCTCGGAGCCGTTGAGCGACGTCACGCTGGACACGTTGCTGTTGTTGCCCCAGATCGACTGCAAGTATCGCCGGGGTTAGAATTCGGAAGGGGCGCGCGGGCGTCTCGCCGACAATACCTGCTCGGGCCTGCCGATGGTCTGCTCGAGCGACAGGCTCTTCCTCTTGAGGGCCGGCTTGGAGCGGGTTGGCGCCGTGACTTTGCCGCGGTCGCCGTCGATCGACGAGGAGCTAGACAGCAGCGCAAAGGTTAGCGATCGAGCGCAGGGGGGGGGGGGGTCTCACGCGAGCGGACGTCTCACCGCTTTCCCAGCTTCTTGGCCCTCGCCGCGTCCTCGTCCGCCGACCTCTTGGACTCCTGCAGCTCCTTGGCCACCTCCATCAGCCGCTTGATGCTGTACTCCAGCTTCTCGGTCCTGCCGGTGGGCACGAGCGACGAGGCTGCGCCAGCCGCGTCCGCGGTCAGTCGAGCGAGCGCATCGTCAGCGAGGCCACTCTTACCTCTGCTCTCCTCCCGCGAGTCCAGCATCGGCGACGACTCCCGCGACTTCGGGCCCTTGAATCTCCTGGGCGGCGTGGGCGTGGCGTAGGCCTCCGGCGGGCCGTCGGCCCCGTTGGCTGCCTCGGGGAGCAGCCTGACCAGGTCGTCCACCTGCTGCAGCAGCGCGTTCAGGTTACGCGCCTCGGTCTGCTCGAGGCGCCGCTTGCTCGCCAGCAGCCCGCGCAGCTCCTCGCGCTCGCGCTCGTGGCGCTCCTTCTCGCGGCGCATCTTCTCGTTGCTCGTGCGCAGCTTCGCGTGGGCGTCCCGCAGCTCCAGCAGGTCGCACTGCAACTGATCGACGCGCGCGCTTGCCAGTGGAGACGCTCGAGTATGGTCAGACGCGGAGACGAGCCGTCGCCCCACCTACCTCCACGAGTTTCTTCTTGTTTTCTTCCTTCTCCTCGTCGAACGTTTTCTTCAGCTGGTCCTGCTTCCTCTTGTTCTCCAGGCGCTCCTTGTCGCGTTCTCTTTCGACCTTCAACCATCGCCGAGACTTTCATCCGTGTGCACGACCGTTTTGTCGCGCGCTCTGTTTTCTTTGCCTTTCTTTCTCATCGGCGCGTCAAACTTTTACGAACTCCGTAATTGACGAGCCATAAAAAAAAACTACTCGCAATAGCACTCCGAAGCCCTCGAGAGCCATGAAGCGCCACCGCAGAGTCGTCGTTTTACGGCACGGCGTAACGATAAGGAGCAAGCTCTCGACCGAGCGAAATTGAGTTATTGAACGTAAATTTGTTTACCTCGAAGAGAGTCTGGCGAAGATCGCGGGCGAGCGTCGCGGTTTCCTGCAGCAGTCGTTGCTGGTCTTCGCGCTCTTTCTGCCACGCCAACTCCATGCGAACTTTGAGACCCGGTATTTTCGTGCGACCGCTGGACAGAAGTCTCTCTTCCTCCAACTGCGAGTTTTTTTTTTTTTTTTTTTTTAACTCGTTTTCTCTCTCTCTCTCAAGAATGTCTGGTCGAAATGCGCGACGTTACCTCGTTGACGCGAGACTGCATTTCCGAGAGTTTGACTTCCCACGCTGACTTCTCCGACACGAGTTCGGTCTTCAATTTCGACGCCTCGAGCTTGGCTTCCGACAGCTCGTCCTCCAACGTTACCAGTTGCTTCTCTAGCTGCGCGCGGCTCGCGCTCGACGTCTCTTCGTCCTTCAAATAAAAAATGAAAAAATTGGTCCCCGTATCGGGCAGCTTATACCGCGAGTTACCTCGTCCGTGGACTTTCCAGTGGACGTGGTCGACGGCCTCCTCGGTCTGCTCTTCAGTTCCGTGATAGTTTTCTGCGCGCCTTCCAGCATCTGTTTGTAAGTGTCGCGCTCGCGTTTATACCTCGTCAGCTGGGTTTGAATGGACTTAATTTCATCGGTGATGGCGCTGACACGCTGCTCGTAACGCATTTTACATTGCGCCAGCTCGGCTTTCCGCGTTCTCTCTGCGGTTTCCAGTGCCACTTTGGATTTGCGTAGTTCTGATTCTAAAACTGACGTGTCTGCCGACAAGTTGCGTTGGATTTTCGCTACGTGCGTGTAGTCTTGGAGTTTGCTGCTTAGGTCGTCGTTCTGTCGTTATCGCAAAATCAAAATTTATTGCATACGATAAAAATGTTATTTCTAATAACCTAGCTGCATTTGTATTTTACGCGATTGATGCAATAAAACGTATGTATCTATTAAAATCAGACTTCAAACAAAGAAGTTTTCTGTATTTTACGACCAGCTATTGCTAAACTTTATTCAGCGGTTATCAAATACAAAACAAGATGTGATTTTGAGGCAACTGATTTATGTATATTCAAATGACACCTCCAACTATTCAAATACCAATATTTTTATAAAGTATATAAGTAATAACTATTTTATAAAGTTATGCTCATGTTAGTTTTCATGCTATTCGGATAATTATTAGTTGCAATTATCAAAATACTCTTTGTTCGTCCAATGACGTTCAAAAACTAGTCAGTATTGGAAAACTAGCGGATCAAATTTTTTAATAATTCGTTGCAATTTACGTGACATTTATGTCACATTATCGATGCTATTTAAAAAGTAGATATTTTCACTTACAAGCATGAACGAATAAATCCTTTATAAAATTCAAAATAGTAATCCACCAGTTCTAGTCTGACGCACGTCAATTCCAATTCTAGCTAAACTTATGAATTGTCAGTGGAAATGAACTATCGAAAGAGAAACAAAAACTAAAGACAAAACGGGAGGTTTTCAAAAAAAGCATCATATATTGAAATACATTTATCCATATATTCGTTATTTAAACTTTGAAACGAAAAAATTCGTTCACGAATAAAATTTGAATGGTCATTGGTCAGCCATTTTCTCGAATCTAACTAAAAATATCCGTCCGCGAGTGTAACAATGTAAAACGATTCGACTAGAAAATACGAAATGAAAAATACGTTGCGAAAACGATTCAAAACAAAAATTTCAGCGCAATTTTTCCAGATTGATTCTTCTCTAAGCAAAGCATGCGAACAATGCTCGCGTGTCATTCGGCGGGTGAGAGGCATGGGGAAGGGGGGGCGGGGGAGGGACAAATCAGTCACCATCAGCGCGGAAGAAAAGAAAATTAACTCACGACTTTCTTGAGGGCGTCGATCTGCTGCGCGAGCGAGCCGCTTTCCTTCCTGAGCCGGAGATTTTCCTCGTGCAGGTCGTCTTGCGACGCGCCGCCGCTCGTCCTCTCGCGCTCGCGCAATTGCTCCTGCGATCGCAAAATCCAACGCTTTACACCCGAAAAGTCTCGTCGGGCCCTTGCTGATCGTATCCGAGAGCCTTCGGGTTGACCGAGCACCCCCCCCCCTTCCGCCGTTCCCGCCACCGCGATCGAGCGAGTTGCGAGCCTGTGATTTATCGCTGTACTTTATCATTCCTCTCTTTTCTTTGAAACTGCCGACCAATGAAAGGAAGCGTTGTTTATTCGACGAGGCGCGAGGAAACAGATGCTTATCGATTTTTGCCTTAGTCTACGATGCACATGTACTTTCGAGTGCTTTCTAGGTGCTTTAATTTTAGCAAATTCTCCAGCGATCTAACTATAGTACTGGAGGACATAACGTTATCGCCATGAGCAGGATCAGCTCGCGATCTGTTGAATATTTGTAATTACCGACTGGTAAAAAAGAAAGATGACGTAAATTAAAACGCTATTGTTGCAAACGGTCTCGACGGCGAGATTACGCGAAATTTTATACGACCGGAAACGCAAACAAGAAGTCGCTCGAAGAAAATTGGCCGGCACAACGCGTCGCTTCCTCTTCGCGATGAATTTCAATACGTCCCTTTCGCAATACGGAAATATCCGACGACGCGATTACATTTGCAACGAAGCAAAAAGAGAGGAAAAATCGAAAATAAAGGGAAAAAACAAACGATCGGCTCGCCAGTTTGCCCAACGCTCGAGCGGTGCGAAACCCCGGCAAGCGAGAGAGGCAAAATAAAAAGGAGGAGCAACGTTCGCCGTCGCCAGTAATTACCTCGAGTTTAGCCTTCTGTGTCGCCCACTCGGCCTCCTTGGTTTTGCGGGACTGTCGTACCTCCTGCAGTTCCGCTTGCAGTGCTATGTAGTCCTGCTTGTGGTCGATTGCTTGTCTACGGTGCCGCGTTGTCGTTCATTTTTTGTTGTCTTTCTTTTTGCGAAATCAATATTGCTAATCCGTTTTACAGCCTTGTGTCGCTTACCCTTTCAACAGCTGGTTTTCCTTCTCGAGCTGGACTTTCGCCTCGGCGAGTTTCTCGTGCCTGTTGCTCTGCTCGTCATACTGACGAGTTTGCCTTTTCACCTCGTTCTCAAGATCTGTAAGAAGGCCAATTATCGATCGGTAATTGCTCGGCAACGGGAAAATTGGCTTCGCAGACGGGCTAACTCACTTGCAATTTTCTCATCGTAACTCTGCTTCAAATCGTCCAGCTTCTTGGAATTCAGACCCGCCTTTTCCAACGCTAAATTCTTCTTCTTCAGCGCGGCCACTTCCGCGTCCTTGCTCTGCTTCTCCTTCTCCAATTGACCTTTCAATTTCTCCTTATCCTTCTTCAGCGTCGCCAATTCCGACGTCACTTCCGCCAGCTTCGACGTTGTTGAATTTTTCATATTTTCCAATTCCATTTTCGTCGCTTTCAAGTCGTTTTCCATTTGGATCTTCGCTGTTTCGACCTGATGTTAGTTGTGCAAACGTTATCGAACACCTAGTCCATACCGGGCATAACATCGGTACTCGAAGTGAAACGCAAGAAGAAGACAAAGCAATTTTACAACAAACGGAATCGTTCTATATTCTGCATTTTTCTTCGTTTAAAAAAAAATGTCTCGATGCGCTTGATTCGAGAAAAACGTTTTCGGTCGAAGGAAAAATGTTTACGTATTTCTTTTTTGAGCCACCTAAATGTTCGAACTCGACAATGAACCGATAAAATAAAAATGGAGAAGCATAAACAACCGACCGCCGTTAACGTCCTATTGAGTTTGGTCTCCTTATCGTTGAGCGCATTGACATCGTCCTGCAGCTTCTTGGCACGTTCTCTTTCCTGAGCCAGCTCCTTCCTGAGGTTCTCAAGGGTCGTCTCCATACGTTGTGTGTCCTTCTTAGAGGACGTTGCCGTTTCTGCCAGGGGGGGAGGGGAAGGAGCGGACGAAAAAAAAGTATCAAATGCGATTGTTAATGTTGCTCTCTGCGCTCTCGCGCGCGCGCGCCACAACGCGTGCATATATGAATTTTGCACAAAAAAAAGAAAGAAAAAAAAAAGATACCACTTTGCCGCCACGCCGCACGCGTGCGCGCGCGCGCACTCTCTCTCGTCAAGGAAGAATTTTACCAAGATCCTTTTTCAGTTGGACGACTTCGTTGTAGACCTTGAGTTTATCGGCCGACAGCGAGAGCAATTTCGACTTGAGCTTCTCTTTTTCCTCCTGGAGCTTGACCTTCTCCGCGTCCCACGACTTGCGCTCCGACTCGCGCGACGCTTGACTCTCCTCCAGACGCTTCTTCACTGCTGAGCCAACGGGAAAGGGGGAAAAAGAACGAAAACAAGAAAGGGAAGGGGGGGGGGGGAAGAGAGACGCTCAAGACAGGCCGGGAATTTGCTTTGGACTAGTTTACGGCGCGAGGCGCTTTTCTCTCTCTCTCTCTCTCTCTCTCTCTCTCCGTTTGCCCGCGGACGCTCTTTAACTTTATTTCACTATTCGCTCGGGCGAATTATGACCCGCGGACTTTTATCGTCTATTCGTCTTTGGTCGCGTTTCGCAAATCGCAATAAATTCGGCTGTTTACTATTGGCCGAGCGAGCGATATCATTCGCCGTCCGCGAAAGAGAGAGAGAGAGAGAGAGAGAGAGAGAGTCGGCGAGCGATCTCGGGAGGATACTTGCGGCTGGCCGAATCGTCGCTCCTGGCGCTGCCGTCCACGGTGGCGGGCGCCTTGCTCTTCTTGCTCTCCTTCTCTCGGCTCTCCCTCTCCTGGGCCAGCTCCTTAAGCGTCTTGTCCAGTTTTTCCTTGAGCAGCTCGTGCTCCTTCGTCAATTTGTCGTACTTAAGGCCGGCCGTTTGCGGAATGCCGAAATCGCGCTCGTCCATCATGCCCACCATCACATTAATCACGTCCCCTGCGAATTTCGAACGCCGAGCGCATTATCGGTCGGCCTCTTGTCGCCTCATTGTTCGCCGCCGCCTCACCTATGTCCTTCTCCATGCCGTCCACCAACTTCTTTATCTGCATCTTCTGCGCGTACTCCGTGGGCTTCCTCTGCGAGCGGTTCTTGTACTCCGTGCCGACCTTCTTGAGGATGTCCTCCAGCCTTTTCACCTGGGAACATCGCGTCGAGCCGTGACGAAACTGCAATCGCGAACAAACGATTCGGACTCTGTGCACCCACTTGCTCGTACTTCTTCTCCACGTCGGACTTGTCGGCCTCGAGCTGCTCGGCCTTGCGCTCCACTTTCCTCAGCTTGAACGACAGTATGCGGCAGTTCTTGTTGGACTGCTCGAGATTCTTCCTGATGGTGGTGTACTCGTCGGCCTGCTCCTCCCTGCCCGGCGAAAGCAGCCGGTCGATATGAGTCCCGCCGTCGCTCGGCGCCGCCGGGGCTCACCTGAAGTTGTCCTGCATCTCGTATATCTCCTCCTCGAGCTCGCGTATCTCCTTCTTCATGTCCTCGTTCTCGTCCATGAGGCTCTCGCACAGCGCCTCCGCGGCCTTGAGCTTGGAGCGCAGCTCGTCGCCCTGGCGCTCGCGCTCGCCCTTGTGCGCCTTGAGCTTGAGCTCGCGCTCCAGGCTCCTCGCTCGGGCCGCCAAGCTGGCGCGCTCCTCCGCGAGCGCTGCGCGCGCACAGGCGGCACAGTGAGAATCGCCGAGCGCTCGAGGCCGCGGGCCCACTTACCGTCGTTCTTGGCCTGCAGCTCCTTCACGCTCTTCTGCAGCTTGAGCACGTCGGTGCCCGAGGACTTGGGGTCCATCGTCGACAGCCGGCGGAGCAGGATGTCGGCCTTCTCCTTCTCGAGCCTCTCGCACCTCGACCGCATGTCGCTCAGCTGCGTCCTCAGCTTGTCCGCGTCGGCCGCCTGCGCGCGCTCGAATTAGCCATCGCCCCGGGCGCTCGCGAGACGACGCTAGGCTGCTCGACCGCTGAACTGCGTCATCGCGCAAGCGGATCAAGCGCCACTCGGTGCAGCCGTCGAGCTCGCTTCTTTGTCGCGAAAGCTGCGCGGCGCCCTCGTGAAACGAGCGGATTGCGCGACCTCTGCGGCAATTGGAAATTCGTCCGATCGACTGCGATGGCAAAAACCACGGAAAGCCGTGCGATGCGACGATGACGAGTTCAGCGCAGCCACGAGTAACGCGTAGCGTCGTCTCCGACCGAAGCGAATGTGTCGACAAAGCGTTTTGCGCTTGTCTACAAATGCGATAAAAGGCAGGAAGTCAAAATTACTTTTTCGGTCTTTTCCGTCTCTTTTTCAGTCGAGTCGGTTTTCGCTCCGTTTCGCTCGATGATTCGCGATTTCCTTACCTTCGGTCGGGATTAATGCGAATGAAGACAGAGAAATAATAGAAATTAATGAGGTTAATATACAGTAACAAGAAGAATAGAATTATTATAGGTACAAGTGGAAAGTACGTTCATGAGTGCGACTTATTTCTGAAACTTGTGTGCACAACGTAAGAAATAATTGTTCAAATTTGTTGCTTTGTACGTGCAACAAGACCAGAGCGTGCAACGAGTACGTAGCAATATTCGATGCTCGACGATCGATTAATTCACGTTATTACTTACAAAAAGCAACAGTACGTCGGTAATTCGACCATTCGTACGGCAAGACATAAATTTGCAGATTCGAGGAGAGGAAAACGGCTGGTTCTCAATGGTAAAAGATACCGATGTAACGGCGCGGACTCGTAACGACTCTGGGATTCGTGAAACTTGCCAATCGCAGATTCGTGCAACTGTAGAAAGTACAGCACTTGCAACGACATCTGTTACTGCCATATTATTGCCGATTCTGCGAAAGCTACGTCATAACTCGCTACAGGTCTGGACAATCAAAAAATGAGTCGCAACTTTCACGGCGATACTTTCACAACAATAACAGCATCGGAAAATCTGCAAAGTGCGACCGGCAAAAAACCCACCTGAATGATAAATTCGGCGTCGTTGTCCGAGCTGGTCCCGTTCGACTTGTCGATCACGCCTTTGATCTGCAGCTTGTGCTGCGCCGGTCTGGGCGAGGCAGCGTGCCGATCGGCGGCGCTCTCGTCGACGGAGTAGCGTCGGTAACCGAGGCTGTCCGAGGTCGAGCCCGCGTAAGTCTTCGGCCTGGGCGGCTTCATCGTGACCGTGGTCACGGCCTCGGGCTCGGCGCTGCGCAGGTCGCTCAGGCTCATGCTCGACAGGTCCATGGCCGACGACCAGCTCTCCGCGCGGGTCTCGTAGCCGCTCGACGCCTCGTCCTTGGCCAGGTTCGACGTGGACGACCAGCTCCTCCGCGACTCCGAGCTGTCGGACGACCTGCTGCCGCGAGCGCTCGGTTCGGTCGATCGGAAAAGTGGAGGCGCGGCAGGCCGCGGCGCCGACGACGACGACGACGACGACGACCACTCGAAAATCTCTCCGCGAGAGATGAAAATTAATGGGAAGGTCGCCGCCCGATTAATTAATCGAGGTGGTCGCGCGCACGGGGTGTATGTTTATGCTATCGCGATAGGAAATCATTGGGATCGTGAACTAGCCGAGCTTATTACCGTCTCCAACGTATGTGCATACATGCATTGTATATGGGCCGACAGTGCTGAATAAACTTATAGAGCCTTTTAATATTTCCTCTGGCCGATAAAATCTCTGTCTCTTAATTCAAGAGCCGGCGCTGCGGCAGCCTGCGCCATTCGATATTGCAATACTAATTAGATACTTTGTCTTTATTTACCTTCCGGAGCTCGGTTCCCATACCGAGAGACTTGGCGACGATGAAGTTGCATCCTTCGTGATCTTTTTGCCGCCGTGCTCTTTGTGATCGTTGAAGGCTCTGCAACACGCGATTAGCTCCGTTTTCAGTGCGATCGCAATGCGAACCGACGCCGGCCGACTTTCCGCGACGCGCGCGCCACCGGGCAGCCTTTGCCCCTGCGGTCGCGCGCGCCGAGAATAGGCGTCGAGCGACGCGCGCGTTCTCCTCCTCTGCTGCTGCTGCTGCTGCTGCTGCCCTAATTGATCGATACTGCTCGAAGGGTGTGCGCAACAGTCATCGCTCGTTCCGACGAGCTTACACTTCGGATTTTCCGCGCGCCCGAAAACCGAGTGACGCTCGATCGGGCTCGAGCTTCGACTTTGACTTGGCAATTTTTCCTCGATCGAACGCTCGTCGAGCGCCCGAATATCTCCATAAAAATATACCACGAACGAGCCAACGAATCAAATGACCAACAATTATGACGTACCAATCGATGTTTTATTCATTAATAACAGTTTCCGAACAAATGAAAAACGATATATCGACAGTACAGGCCTGCAAAATTGTCGATAACTTCGCCTTGAAAGTCGATACGAAAATGCATAATGCGAAGCTAACTTGCGGTGCATCGTATGAGTCTCACGATAAATTACGGCTTTTACGTTTATCAACTAAACTACTCTTTCGACGCCTAATTAGCATTTACTACGTAATTATAACAAGCAGACGAAGTCTATTGTATCTACCGAACTCGACAATAGTATGTCATTAAAATATGAAGTAAAACGTGACTTTCGTGGGTATTGGTGACACGAGGGAATGACATAGACTGTAGACAAACTGTGGTCATTGCATGGATTTGCAAACGGAATTCTGTCTACATAATATCACTAAACATAAGATTATTAAATGTTTTACTTGATAATTGTAAAGAAGATATTATTTTGAAATTCATAAAATATGAACTTTTGAACGAAATTGCTTTTGTTTCGCTATTTAGATGCTTAATTAAAATTACGCGTGAAGCCAACTAACAATAATATCATTCTATGAACGGATAAATTTAATGCGAAAATACACGCTATATCTGTCGGGTGAGTAGCTGAATAGCTGCCAATGACTTGAATATCACAAAATACGAATATGTAACATTGATGGTTCGACTATAATTCAAACCTAACCGAATACTCCCAAATCCGAACTTTAAAGGATTCTGCGCTCTCAACAGTATCATACGGATCAGTTTCAGAGACGACATATCATCTATAAATTTATCGCAAGAATTCTCAATGCAAGTGGCAATTTTCAAACACTCGTCGATCAACTTCCCACCCGCGTAGCCAATAACTGCCAACTGTATACATTTGCGCGATCAGTCTGGATTTCAGCAGCAAAAGTAACAGAGCTCACGTGTATGATTATTACACCGCAAGCGCAAATGTCTATCGACATCATAACGTGTCGAACCGTGAGCATCACTGAGAAACTGTTGCATATCGCGGCGCCGTATTGCAGAACAATGATGTGTTTGACCACTATGTGCCGCAAAGCTTTGAAATTATTATCCTCCAATCGTAGATGAAATGTTGCAAGAGTTGCGATTGACTGAAAAGTCGGCACATAAAAATTATAATGCAAAGATCACACGTTATGACGCCAAACGAGCGGAGTGACAGCATTATAGCTTCGACTGTATAAATCAGATAGAGCCTGAAAATTTCCAATGAAGGTATAACGAAAGCATCTTCGGACGTTTTCAACTGAAACTCTCGACGAAAAATGATCAAATGAATACCGGATAGACTTGGATTGCAACAATAATGGACATACATAGCTTTTGAACCAATCAAACATCATAACGTATATAAATGCCACAGCGTAAAAACCAATCAGTAGCTTTATCAGCTTATACTGAAAACGACACCAATTTTCAGCTATCTGTCTTTCAGTGAAAGATTTGCGGGCAATTTAATTCACGTTACAAGTCATTTGGACAATCTTCACGATGTTGTTGCTGGAAAAGAGTAACTTTATTGAAAGCGTTTCACCCGAGTTAATCGTATCAATTGTACGACGTAAGCTTCTTACCGACACAACACAACTGGTAACAATTTTGAAGATACTCGTAAAATTTTCTGTGAGAAAACTGTCGAACGCACAGTCGAAAGCAACAAACATCCATAAACCGAAAAAAGTACCGTGATTGAAAACGAGTCTCGTACAAATACGCGCTTGTCATTCAACAAAAAAACATCAATACTTTACTCAGCGAAGCGTTCTCTGTCCATTCTTTCAGTGAATATGAGCTGGAATACAAATATTCCGACTGAAATTAATACCATGATGTAAGATCTTGTAACGGAAAATCTGGCTTTTTCCGGCCGCAATCCAATTAAGCGAAGATAAAAGGTACTGTCTCCGAACAATACGTGATTCCGATGGCTAATTACTTTCTAGGTCGTCTAATACAGTTGACAAATCGTCCTTATATACTCGTACTTCCATTTTCAGCGACTCAACCCGATATAAAGATAATCATTCGATTTCTTCGCTAAAGTTCCATCGAATTTCTGAAAGATACTTCATCTACTTCATCAGATAAAATCGCTCGAGCAAAAATGAAGTCGACACCGGGTCCTAATGGAACGGTAAATGTGTCACATTATTAAAGCATCGGGACGACGGATTGATCCAATCTATCAGGTAGCCAGCAATTAAGTATACATGAAAAATTTATGGAGAAATTACCGCGTCTGCAGTTCATAAGAAGGATCGCGGATTAAATTTGCGCATCGTGAGAAATCGTTAAACTCGAATAATTTACCAGTTTACGTGAAATATGGCCGTCGTCCACTCTCCTTCATTATTGTCAAGAAGTAAATACTGAGCGAGAATGACCAAATGTGTATACGATACACGCCGATAGGCGGGGCTGTACGCTGCGTAATTGGCGCTCGTTCGATATATATTCCTTTTTGCTCGATTATCAAGGTCATCCGCCAGAAAAGTAATCTAAAGAATAATGGGGAGTTATAATGTTTTATGAGAATTTGTGGTTTGGGCCACCCTCCGTCATACTCTCGAAATGGTCTTGTTCTTTCCAGCCGACTGCCTCAAAAGTTAACGAATGTAAATGAATATACCGATAGCCTTCTTGAACCTTTAGGGTACATCACTCAGACCCGAGGCGTGGGAGGTATTTTCCACTTTCGATGCGGCTTTTCGCTCTGCCTACCTTGAATCATCGAGATTCACAACAGCTGCAATTTCAGTGGTTTCTTACAATCAGACATAAATAAATTGCAGAAAAAATCGATGATCCAAAACTCGTCGTGTTTTTTCAATTTGAGACACGTGTTCTTATTTTCAAACTGAAGCTGCATGCTATTACAGAATGTGCGTGTAATCATTTGAAAAATTACCTGCTACGTCTAGAACGTCAAAAAAGCAAAGGTTTCGTGATCGCCCGAAGAGGAAAATTCAAAAATAAAGCCGAGGGGATAGCAGATAGTCACGTGCAAAAAAGTTTCTGGCCAAAAAAAAATCAGTCGAAATTCAAAGTTTTGTAGCTCTGTCCAAAATGGTCGTAGAAGAACCCGAGGAGGCTCATCAGAAAGATAAAGCAATACCTTTCACGTCTCGCCTATATTTTTTTAAATTGGCGATTACATTTTTCAAGTTGAAAATATTAAATGATTTTTTTTAATTCTTGTGCCGCAAAAAATCGGTTGTAATTTTTGAACAGCTCGGCAAATTTTCGAAAACTCAAATTGAAAAGTTGCGTACTTGTGTCTTCTTTAAAATAAACGCACTAGGATCTATTCTTTTACGACTTGATAAAAAATTATAACAGTTTATGTAAAAAAATTTTTTTTTTATTCATCTTGGATTATCTCGAAGAAAACCAAATTCAAAGAAAAAATGTTTTTTCACTGCAAGTAGAATAAGTATTTATTATTATTAAAATTCTATTTCGGAAAATGACTTTTTTTTTCATTTTTTTATTGTGAGTATCAGCGGTGAATTATTTTTATTTGGTTTAAATATATCTATTTCATAAAAAAATATTCTTTTCACTAAAAAAATTAATCACCATCAATTGGCTGCTCTTGCTAACGTTATCTTGAAATGTACCATAGGTGAAGCGCTGTTACTTCCCGAGAGCCGTGAACGGGCCGTTCGCCTCGCCTTTTCGCGTACTAGTTAACGTTGTCTCCGTTTTTATTATTCTCCTTCAACGGCGGTTCGTAACAATATCGTTCAAATATGAAAGCGAAGTCGTATGCATCGAGAAAGCAAATGGAGATATCGCACTGAAAATTGCGACTCATATAAGATTAATAACACGCTATCTCGTATTACTAACTGGTTTTACGTCTGATTACAAAGATATTTTGAATGGCGATTCAACGCATTCGCTTCTATAAAAACCGAATGAAAACGCTACTCAGAATTCAGTCTGTGCCAATCTCAGAGTATTCGTTTTTGGAATATCCGTATTAACGAAATATAAATTGCATGGCTCTTGAAGTTTTCCGGGGCGATTTGCCGCCGAGTTCTTTTATCGCTGCAAACAGGTCGTACACTTTAGCTCGCGTAAAGTCAAGCGTATGACCGACGCTCCAACGATGGTTTCTTTAAGTAGCGCGACGAGCTTTGTAGACGAAGTTAAAGTTCAACACCTATAAACGAATGCACCAAAGCGACCCACTTATACTTTGCCAGAAAGTTCTCTTCTTAAAATTAGAATGATTGATAATTCGCAGAGCGCTTTCGAATCGATAGTCCCGGCACAGACAACGTATAAATGTCGAGGAGCAATTCGACGTAGTCGAAGCCAATCGCAACGAGCCACGTGACCGGCGCACACTTGGTCATGGAAAGCGCGGAGTCCCAGAAATAGCGGTGGTGGATAAAGGGGGTCAAGGTCAGGAGGCTCGCAAGTTCACCGTCCGCGCGCGTCGGGCCGAGAGCTCACCTGAAGCATCGCTTGCACCTCGTCGGCCAGCGCACCTGCGGGTGAAAGCCGACCGGGCAGAGCGGGTCGCCGGTCGACGTCGGATAGAGATGGTGCATCTTCTTCATGTCGAGGCCCCGCACGGCGCGTCGACGCGGCGCATCGCACTCGCGCGCGCGCACTGCTCGGCCGACGGGCGCGGCGATCGCGCTCGCATGTCGCTCGCGGCGCCCGACCCAGTTGCGCCCGCCCCGCGGTTGCGTAACGGGACGAGCCGCGCGCTGCTCCCGGGCCTCGGGCCGGCGTCGGCGCTGCACCGCGGCTGGACGTCGGCGCACCTCCGGCGACGCCCGCTGGGACTGACGCGCCGCCGAGCTCGCGCGGCCGTGCGCCGCCGCGGAGCTCGCTGCGAGGGGCGCTGGCCGGCGGCCAGCCGCCGCGTATATTTGTCTCTAGCTCTAAGTATAGCAAGCGGGGATTACGCGCGCCCGTCGGAACAACTGCGCGCGCCGACCATAGCTCCTCTTTCCTTTTCTTTCTTTCTTTCTTTCTTTCTTTCTTTCCTCGAGTTTTGCTTTTGCTTTTCCGTTCGACATTTTTTCGTTGCTCACGAGGAGTCCGCCCCGTCCGAGCTCCGTTCGCTGCCGAACGGCGGAGAGCGCGAGCTCGTTGTTTTATTTTTAGCGGCGCTCAATGGAGAGCAGCCGAGCTGCTAAGGCGTAAGGCTATTTCTGGCCACGGTCCTTTGCAATCTGCGCGCTCGCCGATGCTGCACCTACGCTCTCGTTCTCCGAATGTCTGCCGGGGGGCAAGGGAGCATCCGGAGGCTCGATGCGGCGCTCAAATTTTTCAAACATTTTAAATCAACGGCAGTAGTTTACCTTGCGAATTTCTCGTGAATTTTCTCATCGATTTCCGTAAAAAAACTCGCCGTTCGTAAACCAATTTATCCTGTTCGTAAATTTTAGTCTGCTTTTTGCTAAGTGTACTTCTGCGTCTGTGAAAATTCGAGCTAACTTCGTCGCAATGTAACGATCGTCACTGCCTGGCAAGACATTCGCAATATCGACAAGACAAAAGTGAGTAAATAAATAAATAAACACTGGCTACAGCTACATTCATATTTCTGAACGATGTCAAGCTCAAAGACTCTGAAAAATAAATAAAGAAAAAAAGAAAAAGGAAAAAGAAAGGTAAAGGAAAAACAAGAAATGGAGCGCGTTGAATATAATGGGCCGAGCCGTTCGGGAATTGGGACACGCGCGGCGGCTCGGAAATAAGCTCGGCCGGCGTCCGTGCATTTCGGCTGCATTTCGGTTGCATTTCGGCCGTGTCGCTTTGCGTCAGAACGAGCGCTCCAGTTTGCGAGCCGAAGGTCAACGTAGCTCTCTCTCTCTCTCTCTCTCTCTCTCTCGAAGCTCCCCATCTCCGAGAGCACGTGGCGCGAGCGGTTGCCTGTTACGTACGTACGCTTGCACGTCGCTGGTCGACGCACTGCCCGAGCGAATGGCTCCGGCAGCGCGACGCGGAACCGACCGCGAACGCCGATGGCAGCGATCGTAGCGAAATCGCGCGTTTCTTACGTAAGCTCGGCGCATTAGGACCATCGATTATCGAGTCGCGAGCTGGCGTCTTCTTCAAATTTTACATAACAATACAATTACACCTCCGTGTATGCGCTTCCGCGCTATCGACAGATCAATCTCGCGCTGCACGAGCGAAGCGAGCGCCAAGTTTTTTGCACTTTCACGCCGCAACAAGGACGACAACGAGACACGTGTGCGGCGCCTCGACGTTGCCGTGCTCTCCTCCGAGCAGCCGTCGGGATGTGCTCGGCTTATTACGCGATTACGATTTTCGAGAGGACGCCGGCGGCGTGTAAGAGCGAGCGGGGAGCCGACCGAGAGAGATATCCCATCGATAATATCCGAGCGCGCGGAGACTCTTCGCGTCTGCGGCTGTTGCAACGCAATGGCACGCGCGATGCGCGAATGCACGTACGAGTTAGTTCTGAGCCTCCAAGATACGTATCGACGGAATTTTCCTTTTCGGCATTTTTCGGTACGTTATTATTCCAGCGAACAATGCAATTTTCGGATTGATCGGCTCTTCCGATATTGGCGTCGGGTATCGACGGGCATTGCACGTCGAACGAAATATCTGTGGAACTTAATTAGAATATTGTTTGGAAATCGAAGAAATCTCCTAGGCGGGTATTGCGAGCGATACTTTTACAATGCTACTCTCATCGTCGAGTTTTGTTAGTATTTCGACTGATTAGAATGAAAACGCACGCGGAATAGCGAAAAGCGATGTAACGTTGCGAGATCTTTACCTTCGACAATCGATCAGTGATACATAATAACAACTCGAAAGAATAATATAATCAGTGTATTTTGGGAAACAGTCGAATGGTTCGGAAGTGCGCGAAATAATGTCGCGACAACGGCGAGCATATGTTTGTTCTGCCAACCGAACGCATCTCGACGTCGTAACATCGATCGCTGCTGCCGTCATCGTCGTCGAAATCAGTATATAAGATGACGCGCCGATATGACTTGGCTGCTGTTGGGCGCCTTTGCTGAATGAGAAAGAGGTGGGAGGTGATGTAGTGAAAGGACGCGTCCTAAGAGCTCGCACTAAATAATTGGTATACGTCGACTGTTCCCTTCTTCTTCTTCTTGCTTAACTCGCATGTGCACCGCGTGTATTATCAGAATGGGCGCTCTTACGAAAATTACATCATCGCGCGTGAATGCGCTTCGCATTCGCGTATTGAATCAACATTGTTTCGCCGCCTTTTTCTTTCTTACTTTTGTGGCTGGATTGCGATTATAATTTTTCGATTTTTTTTTTCACTTTTTAATATTATCATTGCATCGAGGGAATCGATTCGCGTCGACTGTATAAAAGAAGAATAGCGATCAACTAATCGCGAAACGGAAAGTAAAGACACGTGCGTTTGATTGTATTTCAAAGGAAAGAAAAGAAACGAATAGCAACGGCGTGACTTTTTTTTTCTCTCTTCAAATACTCTGAAAGAGACGGATAATTTACAGGGCTGTTCACGTGTTGTACCTAAAATTAAGAGGGAATCGATAATTTGTATTCCGCGCACACGCACACGCTTCGAATATTTTATATTTTATGGAGGCCTGCGCGCAAAAATTTCGCCGCGCTCCTCGAGCGCGCGTTCAAAATGGCATTTTTGAATCGAGCGCAGAATGAAAATTGTCCCCGGAGCGTGCATTACGATTGCGCGGGTCTGCTTCTTCGTAGCTCTAATCCCCCTCTCGAAGCTTAGTAGATAGGCATAAATTCGATTTCAACCGCGAAACTCATTTACAACTCTTAGGGCTACGGAGGCAACTGACCCGGCGTAAATGTCCATTTTTTTTTCTCCTTCTTTTTTCTCCCTTTTTTATTTTGTTGGTTTCTCGATCAGCCTCGATGTTTATACGTTTCATTAAATCAAGAATTTACATGACAAAAGCATCGGCAATAATTTGCCGGCCGGTAATCGGTGCCTACCCCCCCAAATGATCTTCAATCAAGCCACACCGAGATGTTTTCGGGAGATACAAAAAAGTGACGAGTTTTGAGTGGATTATAATAAGCACTTGCGTAAGCCAGAGCCATCGATCGGCTTTTTTCGGCACTCGAGATCGATTAGCGCGCACGGTACGAATCTCTTTATTTCATCTTTCCTTTTTATTTCCACGACCTCGGGCGCGAAAAGTGCAAGTGGGAGTCGAAGAGCCGCGCGACGCGGCTCGGTCGAGCGCGTATCCTCGATGCGTTTTGACAAATGACTCCGCTAGTTCGTGATTGCGCTTTGCTTGTTTTCGGTTGGGTGCCTCGCTTTATCCCGCTCGCGCTCGCGTTTCTCCGTTTCTCGAGCGTCGCTTCGAGTGGAGCTCGCGGCGCGTACCCGCCCTCGATGGGACGTTTATCGCCTGGAATTAATCAACGAGAGGCTGCGCCTCGGCCCGATCATCGCGACAGACGTCCGGCGCGCGAACAAACGACGCGACCCCCTCTTCGGAGACTCGCCGCGCACAGGCATTCTCCTCGGGACGAATCCACGGCGGTCGCGCGCGCGCGCTCCAACGAGAAATGCCACCTGCCGCGGAAATGAAGCCGCGCGCGCGCGCGCGCCTCGAGAAGGACAGGAGGGACGGAAAAAAAACTTGCGCTCGCGGGAGAGCCGAAGGTTGACGGCCCCGGCAGCAGCGTGTAACTGAATTCGCGCGTCCGATTCGAATAACCCTGTTGGCGTGCGTGTCAGTGGCCGGTCCTTTTCGTCTCTCTCTCTCTCTCTCTCTCTTTGCTCTTTTTGGCTTGTAATTCCTCTTCGTTCCTTCTCTCTCTCTCTCTCTCTCTCTCTCTCTATCTGTTGATCAGATTGCCTGCGTGTGTCGGCTATTTCTTTTCTTCGATACTCTCCCTCCTCGGCTTCTCTGTACAACGGCCTTTATTGGCTGTGTCGACTCTCTCTCTCTCTCTCTCTCTGCGCTCTGCATTATGTTTATCATTTTTTTTTCTCTTCCTCGTCAATTACCGAGCAACGAGCAACCACTGTTTTCGCTTGCGACGTGTGTGCGTGTCCCTTTAGGACCCCTCCGCGACGTTTGTTTCCGATATAACAAGCTACCGCTGCCTTCGTTGCGTTCCAGGGCTTTGTTTTTTTTTCCCCCCCTTTTTTTCTTACTTTCAGGAGAGCGAGGATTTTTAAAGGGGCCATTCTTCGCATTCGATTGTGGTAAATTTTTCGACGCGAGTTCGTTAACCTTGATTTTCTCCGAATCCTTTCCTCGCAGCTGCACGCGTCATTTACTCAACTTGAATTTTCAAGTGATGTCGGCGTTATCGGTGCATTCGTAACAGCATTATCATAATGCGACTGTAATTTGTACGAGTTGGCTCGCTGTTCTTAAAAGAGGATAGGGACTGTGCTGCGAGGATTACGAGCGTGCTATTTTCTAAGCTTAGCTTTTTTCAACTTGCGCGCTTGCTCATTGCACTTTATGCGAGTCGTAATTCAAGGCGAATACACCCGGTGCGTGTCCGACGTGATTATACTTAAACAGACGTGCGATATCGCGAGGAATGACGTCACGGCGGCGCGGCACTCGTAAACACTTCTTCCGCGGAACTCAAATCAGGTCGAACGTCTATCAGCCCAAAAAGCGATACTTCGATGATCGTCGGTCATCGCCGCTGCCGGCTTTTCCTCGCTCACGGCAAGCGCGCTCCTCGAAAAACTCCCAAGTAATCCGATTAGCTTCGAGAACTCGACGGTAATACCTTTATCGAAAACGTCACTCGACGCTTATCCCCCGTTACTTTGACTTTTTTTTTCTTAAC